CCCCTCTTCTCCCCCTTCGGCGATCATCCCACTGATGCGACCACTGAGAGGGCCCTGCACTCGCTCGTTCGACTGGCTGACACTTGGGACAGGCCACCACACCACCTTGAGCTGTGTTCCTCTCAGAACCAGTCAAGGTTCCACCACGACATCCACATCCCTTCGTTCGACTCTAACCTCGCCTTACCGTAGGCACACTGGGTTAGCTTCGATATCTTGATGCCTCCTCCCCTTTTGGGACGATACGAACCTGCCGATTGCCCACCATCCTCCATTGCCCCCCAAACATCCGCGTCGACTTTGTGTCCCGGATCCGAGCCTAGGACGCAACACGCAACGTCTTGTGTCGTGTCGATTGACGCCGCCATCCTGTCGCCAATATTCGTCTGCATTTGGCCGCCACACCGTCGTCATTCTGCTAGCGACTTCCTCATTCGACACCACACGTCCTCTCTGTCTCAGACTACGCCCACGCTATCTGTCTTTGCATTATTCAGATCTCCGCCCACGAAATACCTTCCCGCCCGCCGACCAAGTGCCACCTTCCCCGAGCCGAACCCGTCCCTCTCGACTCCACCCCAACGAGTTCACAGGCCAGAGAGAAGCAACCAGACCGTCCCCCATGGAAGCCTCCGTTCTTCGAGTCATCCACCCGTGACTTGATTCGGTCGACGCCTGAACAGCTACTTCCGATTGACCTCACAGCTCTTTCTCCCATACCCGAAGACCGGATCTCCTCCCGTCCTACCCCATGGACGACAACACATGATAACAAGGCTACGCCTACCCCTCGACTGACCCACAGACCTGCTCGCTTGCCATCGCAAGTCTCGCCGCAGATGATCTGGTATCTCCTTTATCCCCTTCGAGGGTATGTCGTCCCACCTGCTCTACCACTCTCCACGATCGAGGGCGTATGCTGACCCCAGTGGCGATCTCCAGAACGACCGAAGCTCCCGTCCTCACACCTTCCCATCCTCTACGCCGAGCCTTCGCGCGGTACGGCGCCTATGCGACTCGTCACGTCATCACCACACTTCTCATCTCCACCGCCGTCGCCGCTGTTCTGATTTATCCCTTTCCTTTCCTCTATACCACTGATTTTACAAATGGCGCCTCCAATCTCCCGCACCATGTCTGGACGCTGGCCCAGCCCATCGAGAAAGCCGCCGTCGAGCCCGACGTCGTGATGCGCTCCGTCTGGGTCCACGGGAGCTACATGCAAGCCCTCGACCGCGAAGTCCTGCTAGGCGCCCTACAACTGCAGGATGAACTTTTAGGGCCGACAGAGAACTTCGATCCCCGCCGCCCCGGCCAACCTGCCATGGAAGTGCGAGATCATAGCCTCGACATGACACCCAATGACCGTGACGCTTTCCATGTCATCAACGGATTGACGAACCAGTCTTGGTTCTTCCACTCACCCCTGCAGTACTGGTACGGCTCGCCTGAGCGCATCAGCTCAGACGCGGACATCATATCCACCGTCAACGAGCGCAAGAGCCAGCCTACTTCCGTCAACACCACGCTCCGGCACTCCATCGTTTTCAGTGGCAAGCATTTCGAAGACCGGAGGTTGCTGGCCGCTGATGCACTCGTCATCACCCTCATCCACTTGCGCGATTCGCCCGTTGGTCGCCAGTGGGAGCGGAAAGCCGCTGCTTTGGCGACACAGATGGCAGACAAATGGACAGCCTACCCCGCCGACGGCAGCAGCATGTCGAATCAGCTTTACGAGTTTCAGTTTCAGCCCATGTCCATCCATGACACCATCGTTCTGGCCCTGGCCTATGGCTTGTCAATGCTCTATTTCTTCGTGAGCATGTCCAAGCTGAGGGCCGTCAAGTCCAAGACTGGTCTGATTGTGACCGTCATGACGCAGATCATGCTGTCTATCCTGTCGAGCTTCACCGTCTGCGCCGTCTTCAAGATCGACCTGTCCAGAATTCCGCAGGCCGCCTATCCCGTTGTTGTGCTTTCAATGAGTCTTGAAAATATCTTTCGACTCATCAATGCCGTTATTGCAACACCCTCAGAACACAGCACTAGCAGTCGCATCGGACACGCCTTTGGCGACACGGCTCCCATCGCCCTCGCGAGCTCTCTGCAAAATGTGCTGATTCTGTGGGCGCTCTCCAAAGTTGTTTCGCCGGGTGTCTCTGCCTTTTGCACTTTTGCCGCCGTTGCCATCGTCTTTGACTTCTTCTACCTGTCAACATTCTTCCTGTCGGTCCTTGGCGTAGATGTAAGGCGCACAGAGCTCAGCGAGGCGCTAGACAAAGCATCATCCAGGGTCACTCGACGCCCGAGCGAGTCTGCTGCACGTGCTAGCTGGACCGACGCACTGCTGCAGGGGAAAATTGCAATGTCCACACGCATTGCCGGCACCATTATCATGGTCGGCTTCGTACTGGCTGCTCAGTGGCATTTCTTCGAGAACCAGACAATTCTCCGCGTGCTTGGTGGCCTGTTCCGCCTGTCAGACACCAAATCGAGCTTGACTCAACAGAAAGAGTCCTTGTTGGTGGATATACATCAGGCCAGAAGTCCAACCTCCTGGCTTCGTCTTCAAGATCACGAAACCGCTCGGGAGGTCATCAGCGTCATCAAACCATGGGCGCACAGCTATATCGCCCAGGTATATGATCCGCTCGTTTTTGTACTGAAAGGGGCCGATCGAACCCCTCAACATCCTGAGCGACCTTTGCTGCCGGCATTGTACGACTTCATTGATCATCACCTTGTTCGCTTCGTGGTGACTGTCATACTCGTCCTCGCAGCCGTCCGCTTGTTTATGAGCTATCTTTTGTGGAAAGAGGATGCAGAGTTCAAGTCGGGACATGACTTCGACAATGAGCCGCTCACGTCAGTTACATCCCTGTCAAAGGGGCACACCCTCGATATTGTCCTGATGGCTGCTTCAGTCGACGGCCATATTGTATCCGTCGGGCTTGACCGCTCGATCCGCGTTTGGGATGTTCGGGCTGGACAGGGGCAGTATGCACTGGGCGAATTTTCCGAGGCCCCAGATCGCCTCTTCCCTGTCTCGGCCATGGCTATCAATGATGAATGTTGTTGGTTGGCCCTTTTGTCGCCTTCAAAAGCTCATCTCTGGCATCTGACAGAGAAAAGATGGGGTCCTTCGCTTCCCGTCGACCTTCAAGGCCACAAACTCCAAGCCTTCTTTTTCGGTCCCGCCACAACCAATTCCTTACCCTCCTTATTCGTGGTTCGCCGCAACGGCACCATGATGGAGCTTGCACCCCCAACTCAAACGGTGGATGATTTCGCTATCTGTAGGAGCCCCTTGGTCTCCGTCAAGCCTCTCACCCAATCATGTAAGTCTTGGTATTACTTGATTTAGCATAAGATTTACTAACTCGGAAAAGCCATGTCTGATCGCGGCTCTCCTCTTTCTGTTTTGACGGCATCTAAAAAGGGCTGCATACATGTGGCCAACCAACAAGACCAAGGTTGGACTTCCGTGAGCCTCGACATGCACTCGCTCGAGGACCGAGATGCTTCTCAGGTCGTACCACTTCCAGGTCTGGACTGTTTCCTCGTGGCACGACAGCACTCGGTTGACCTAGTCGACGGCAAGACGTATCGGCTTCTGCACGTATTCGAGACAGGTCCCATTCAACCCCAGACGCTACGAGCTTTCCACTCAGCTCGAAGGAAACCACAATGCGGATCTGTCGGGCTCATCTCGTTCGGCCTTGCGTACAACGATAACAACACCGGTGATTGCGTCATCCAGACCTATTCACCCAAGGAAGACGGCGATACCATTTGCTTCCGCGACTCAAGTGCCCCGGCAAGTCGAAGCTGTTGCAAGTGGCCCGATACGATCATGTCACAGAGGCGTATCAACAACCCAGGCACGTGGGAGGCTCTGTCAGGCGGCTTCATCGTTGGCGTACGCCGTGATCAGCCCCTTCCCGCCCGGTACAGTCCTGACTCGTCGCCCACGACCCAGGGCCTGCGCCGGCGTATCTACAGCTTCCGACAAGACGACAGGCCCGGCTTGAAGCTGGATAAGTGGGAAATATGGGTCGCTTCACACTCGGGCCGGCACGACGTTTACGAGACAATGCCGCTGCACTCTGACGACGAGATGGGCGGCTGTCTCATGATCTCGGAGCTGGGGCCGATGGTCAAGGTCGGCACGGCCTCTGTTGTCGTTGGCTTCGGGACCATTCTCAAGCTTATCACTGTCGGGCACGAACACTTTGAGGATGGCCACTTTGCTGCCAAGGGCCAGGAACTGCTGAACATCGGCAGTCGGCGACGGAAGCCGGGGCCTGGGACTTCTAGGGCCAAGGCCAACGCGTGGGACAAGAGCCAGTAACCATCAGCCCGTCGTTGGACGCACTGATGATATGTTCGGCGAAAACATCCATGTCCAAGATTGACGATCTGGACCTGGGGGACGGAAGGAGCGGCGTTGCGTTTATATATTATACCATCGACAATTACATACCTACATCCCAGACCTGTGGTAAATGGGTCTTCGGCTTGGGAGGAGGCGGGCGTTGGAAGGATTTAACTCACAAGATACCAGATGAATTTTACTTTAATGTTGATTTCGATTTCCATACCCCTTTCTCCTCGCGTGATCTTTGCAGGTGCCGCCCGCTGGTCACACAAGCTGCACTTCACTTTGCTGTGTTGTCGTTGTCGAACGCCACTGCGCCCGATGTGCTCTGTCATGGCTGCCTCACAGAGCTTGACCCGACTAGACACAGCTAACGATAGTGAACCTCTTGACGAAAGTCAGCCCTCTTCTCCCAGAACCCTCATGCGACGAAGAAGTCGGTAGCCAACCAAGAACGAATGGACTGCGACCCTCAGGCTCTCACGCCATCGCGGGGAGCCGCCAGCAGACTGTGAGACTACTATTTGCACGTTCGTCCATCGTCTAGTGAGTACAGCGGGCATTACGCATTTGTTGCTACTCGCCTGAAAGTGGCTTGCCTCGCTGGTTACGTGACTCCGGGAGGGGGGGACGAACCACTCAACTAGGTTGTTTTGGTTCGCCTCACATTCATCAAAGGCTTACCATGGAATAAAACATGAGATTGAAAGACCTCGTAGTAGAGCAACTAGGGAAATGCATGGGCAGAACACCAGCCAAGGCAGCAACATCCGTGTACTCATGATGAAACCCATCCACACAACATCGCAGCGCGTCGGGCCGGGAAAGGGTTTGAGAAATAGCGCCCATGTGGTGACTACGCTCTCCGAATCATAACAAAGCCAGCACCTGATACGCAAGAAGCGGGACACATCATGCAATTGGCAAGCAGAGTTGAGCAAGCAATGGAGACAAATATAGCTTTGAGAAGCTTAAATATGTTCAATATACATATAGTTACAGAATCCCATTCAACCAAATAAAAGCGCGGCTCGCTATGCAGCTATGTCAATGAACCCTGTGCGCCCTGTGATGCCGAGGACCAAGTCCCTGTTGCTGAGTCCGGGTGGTGTTGGTATTAAAGTTGGTATGTATGTACTGGATTTAGTGATGTACAGTCAAGATGTGTCGCGGTATACGACGAGCGCTGGGGAGCCTGTTTGGTGATTTTCTTCTTCTGAACCGGATAGTGGTAGTTCATCAATGGAGGAGCCGACGCTTGGCGAGCTTATCCTTCCCTTGATATGGTGTGCTCAGATGGGGTTCTCCATCCCCGGGGGCGGCACAGCGGCAGGCGTCTGCGCATACAACGGCTGGGCTGGGCTAGCGGTATCCCGCTGACTTCTCAAGGTGTTGCTGGAACCCATGTTGTTTGTGCCTAATCCTCGCTTCATCATTCTCCCAAGAACGGTGACGAGTTCGCAAGCGTCCGTGAACATGTCGTCGTCCATGCCTTCCGAGGCTTCATACACCTCGGCTATAGCGTCCTTGGCGACCTTGCGGCTACCTTCGCCATCGTGCAAGCAGTCCCATAGGAATGCAGCGTATTCTGTCTTGACGGACAGTCGTAATGAATGGGAACCCCAAAGATACGTGTCTGCCAAACCGATTGCTTGTTGGAAGTACTGATGGGCCTCGGGAAGAAAGTTTTTGGGCTCCTTCAAAAATCGAGCAGGAAGATCGGCAACATTGTGTTGAGGGGCGAAGCCTGGCGGAGGATGGACTGGCCCCCCTTCGAGAGGATGTGTGGGCTGTATGGAGTTTTGCGAGGTGTTCCAGTCACCCTCCATGGCGAGTCCCTTGCCCTTATCGGATCTGGGCGGTGTCGTTCCTGGCAGTACTGCGCTGGTCGCCGGGTCAGGTGTCGAAATGCCGATCGTCGAAACCGGAGGGTTGTTGTGGAACAACACAAAGATGTAATAGAAAGATGCTTGGAGTTTGTACGCGAGCACCTTCAACTCAGTATGATTCCCCACCATGGGTATGACATACTGTTGAAGCATGACCAGGCCCTCTCGTGAAAGCCATATGATATGAAGAATGAGCTCCAAAGACTTCGGGCTTCTGGCAGGATCTGGGCGGCGCTGTTTCTTGGCTGTGACCAACTGTTCTGCGAGGCTGAGGGACAATCCGAGGAGTTTGAGCAGCATGGATGACAGCAAGGGATTGTCTGCTTCAACCGTCCTGGCCAGACGGCCGAGGAACTTCTGATCCACGAGCGACGACGCCATCAAGGCGGCGGTGCAGACTGAGCACAACAGTTCCCAGAGGCTCGATGCTTGACACTATCCACTTGGCAGTTGGGCGAGTGGATATGTCAGGTGATGTCAGGGCGAATACAAAGGGTTTCCGAATTGATTCCCCAAGACTGTTATGATATCAGAGGTTTGCTGTACCTGCCGAAAAGTATGAACCCCGTTGCCTGAGGTTTTTCTGGCAGCTGTGTTGCTTGGGTGTAACGAGTGGTCCCAGGGCAAAAGTGCCGAAGAGAATGGGGAGAAGGGGGGCGTGAGGTGAGAATGAGGTCGTTCGTGGCAGACGGGATGCATGAGAACAGGTGTGAGTGGTGAGGTGAGATAAATCGCCAAGGCTGTCACTGTGCTTTCGCTAAGCGTCTTGCTTGGGTTGAGACAAAAACTTCCCGATGTTCCAGATGTCAAAACAGTATACTACAGGTGCATCTGTTGTCTGAGTGGTCGGTGGTGATTTGAGACAGAAGAGGTTGGTGGTTGGTAATTGGAGGAGGACGGACCAATGTGCATCAAACTGACTGCCAAAGTAGGGCAAGATCAATTGGGCAGACCGGCCAGTGCCGTGAGGTGAGTCCGTCTCAACGCCGGGGGAGGCAGCGACAAGAAGAAGTAGTAAGCCTCTGTGGCACTATTCGTCGCAGCAATCAATTGAGTTTCCGATGCTGTAGACTCAGAGCCTCCGACTGCAAGGCGGGTACGACTGATAGACGGTCGTTCGTAGAGGGCACGACGATGTGTCGCTTGGCCAGGGAACCGTTACCAAAGTCGCCCTTATAAACGGGAGATCCGCAGCTTGGATGGTGGAAAGATTGGCTGATTACGGGGGCAATCCCTGAGGAGGGCCAAAACGAGTGTAGGCAGAGGCAACCGGAGCAAGGTTGAGGCGGTGAGGGGCGGATTTCGCTGGGAAGCCCGGTCCAGAATGAGGTCGTGGCTCGGAGGCTGGCTGGCAGTTGATAGTTGTCAGACGATAGCAGTGGAGACCGATATCTGACCGATGCTAGGCCTGGGGGAAAGGGTCGAGGCAAAGACTGGTGTGCACCGATATGCTGTAGTGCCGAAGTTCTTTAGCTACCTACAGGCCATGTCCATGCGAGATTGGACAGGGTAGGGCTGACTGGGAAATAAATAAAAGGGAAGAAAGCAATCCAAAGCAGGCGTGGCAGAACCAGCAGCAGCAGAGCGAGTGCAAAAGCCTGGAAGATCAAAGTAGCCGTAGCCTGTAGGTATATGTATGCTAAAGGAGACGTGCAGGTCTATGCAGAGATGAACGCAGGGTACGTATCAGCAGTAGCAGCAGCACCATCCGTAGCAATACTGTGCATGAACGAGTGTGGGCCTTGGCGTGGTGGTCAGAGACGCATCGCCATGCTGGTCAACAAAAGCCGGGTTTGCGCCGTCTACTGCCTCCTCCTGGCGATGACGGCAGAGAAGGAAGTGGGCGCTGTGCTGTGGTACCACGAAAGAACCACCAGAGAGGCAGAGTAAAGCCCAGGCGTGCAAGGCAGCGAGAGAGAAAAGGTCGAGAGCGATGATGGGCTGGCGATGCGGAGCTTCGCTGCACGATGAGCTGGCCGTTGGGTTCCACGTCCAGGTGCGTCCGCAAATCAACAAGCTCGCACCCGCGCGCGTCGAATGAGCGTTGGTGTCGACGCTGGCCGCGGCGTCAGCGACGTCTTCGGTGAACCGAGGGGGAGGTTCAGGATGAGTGGCTACTGGCGCTAAGATGCGCCAGCGGGTCAACGAGTATGGGGTGGCTGGGGATGGACGGTTGCTTTCTCCAAGAAGAGTTGAGGGTCCTGTTTCGTTCGTGAGAGAGATTCTGAGGACAGGAACCAGCTCGAGCTCCAGGGCGAGGGTGAGCAGCACAAGAATATGGTCGGCAATCAGCAGGCTGAATGGCCGGCCGAACGAGACGACGCGCTAAATTGAAGCATCGGCCAGGGTCTGAACCTGGTCCGGGTCCAGGTCCATTGGGGATTCAGGGGTGGCTCTGGCCTGTGGTCGTTTGACCCGTGCCGAACTGCTGCTGGAGGAGCGAACCATCCAAGGTTAAGGGTGCATTCTGACGCTGGCCTGGGTTTAGCTTTGTGGGTATCCTGTCGTCCCGTGAAAGGAGATTGAAGGAGACGGCCGGCTGACAAGAGGTGTACCGAGGTGTGACATGCTGTTGTAGGTCAATCATTGGAGCCGTGATAGCCACAGCGATGCATCACGGTGTCTTGAAATGCTAACAAGCAACATATATGAATGAGACGATACTGCCGCCGCCATGGATAAACTGGCTGCGCACTGGTCTGACCTGGCAGTGAGTGTGGTGGTTGTTTGGTACCTGCGCCGTGTTCCAGCTCCAGCGCCCAATCGAGCCAGACCGGGTTTGACCAGCGAAGTCTCGTCGTTGCTTCTGCTAGGGCGAAGCTGGTGACATACAGTGGTCTTGGTTCGCGAGGCTCCTCGAGCAGGACCAAGTGCCATGGGCAAGGATCGATGAGGAATGATGGGCAAACGGACATTTGGTTATGGATGAGGTGCCTCGGACTGCAGCACAAGGTGACACTGGGCTTGCCCTGGTTCTCGACCGGCGTCGTTCAACGGCAAAACCCGTGCGACCTTCAGCTCATGGCCTGCAGCCTCTGTGGATTCGTGTGCGTCTTGGTCTTGTGTCTTGAAACATCCAGATGGATCGTAGGAAGACCCAGGACAAGGGGCTCAACATGTCATGGTAGGGTCGCCGGAGGATGCCTTGTTGAGAAGGTTGTGTGCTCGAAAATCTCGCCTCGGTATGCCGCTCTTCAACGGGGCAGGTACCTGAGTAGGTAGGTACCTAGGTAGGTACTGGATGGATACACGCCGGGGCGGCCTGCCTGGTGACCTACCTTAGGTATCGATGGTGTACTGGACCTCTGGAAACACGAGTTTATGATCAGGGACAGTGCAATGTCAGTCGGTACTGGTGCTCCTTGCCCTTCTCGTCGCTTGACTCGACGCGCCTGGCCACACGAAAGTGACGCGCTACAAGTTTCGATGGGCAGGGGAAGGAAGGACCGACCTGGCCGACCCCACTCCCACCAGCATCGACTTCCCCAGCCACCTCTTTTCCCAAGACACGGGCAACAAGGACCCTTCCTCTGCCAAGGTGGGTACCACTGTCTTCCAGGCCAAGCAAGGTACCCAAGCATGTCCCTACCTAGCTTGCCTACCTAGGTACTACTGTACATGTACTCCACTTGAAAGTCAACATGGTCATGACAACCATCAGCTTCACCTCACTTCGACACCACCAACACCCACATTGGCCTTTGCCAAACCTGCCAGCGCATCCAGGCCAGCGCAAGACGAAGGAACCGCCTCGTTTCTAGCTTCAGCTGAAAAATTGTCCTCATAGGCTTCAGTCAACCAACAGTCCTGGGTCTACTTCGTATCTTCCGCTTGCCAGCCGTGGTGCCCGATCAACTGATGTTGCCCAAGGACCATCATGCCCGCGGCCCAATTCACTTCTACATCGATGCCTCGACTTGGCCTGACAACAGCCCGGCACTTGGCCGCCACATATGCGGCCACCCCTTGGTCGCTCCTCCGACTCTGTTGCCTCTGCTTACCACTCCTGACGTAGCAGCGTGTGTAAAGTGGAAACATTGGGCCAAGTCGAAGCCAACAGGCGGTGAGGGATGACCTTTGCCCGTCCCAAATGATGGGACGAAACTACCTGATCTCACTTGTTCGGAGTCCCTGAGCCCCAGCATGCAAGGCAGAGCGCACGACAGCCATGCGCCATGCGCCATGCACCGTGCCCCTCTCCCACGCGTCTGCGAGACCACGCCAGGCCATACCATTCCAGGCGCCAGCTACGGCGTCGCTTGAAAGTGCCTTCAATCACGGGGTCAGGCAGAACCTCAGGAGCCTACTGGGACGCAGGTCTCGGGTCGCCACGCCCACCCCGTGCTGCTTGTTGTCTCAGACGTGGCCGCCCCGTCACTTTCTTGCCGATGGCATGGGTTGCCCGACAGATAAACGATCTAGCCATCTGTTGCGGCAGCATACGGCTAAGCCGTCAATTACCAACATCATGAACCCCTATCCGAGTCTGACGCCTGACACAACATCTTTCGAGACCTCGATCATGTCACCCTGATGATCCGAAAAGGCAGTCACCTGACGTGACGGGGTTATTCACGGACCCCTCTCGTTCCCCAGCAGAGCCAGCATTTGTCTGCAGCCAGTGCAACAGACAGACGCCAACTTAGAGCCACCCTCTTAGGCTCACAAGGCGAGAGGTTGTCAGCTGACTTGTCTCTTCAGATGTCTTGGGTTTTGTTTCCAGATGACAGATGTGCTGGAGCGAAGCATCTCTGGACCCTCAATCGCAGCCCTGCTTTGGGAGACTGTTTGCTGCCGCAAGGCGTGAAGCAAACATGGGGCTCAAACGGCAACAGGGGTCCTAACGGCCACCTTTAGGTGAAACTTTGTTTTCTATTGGACTCGAGATACTTCAGCCAAGTCGGCTTGACACTTGAAGACGAGGCTGCCTACAGCTTTCCAAACAACTCACCTTCCCATGTGTGGTCACATTTCGGTGCCCGAAGCTTTCGTTCAGTCGATTTACTACACGTCGTCGCTGTTTGCCAACCTTTATCGACTGTTCAAGGGGAGGCAGCAGCTTGGTCAATATTCTAGTCAGAATGGGCATTCTCGTTTAAGGCGCTTGTGTGACCATGTTCAAGATAAACTCCACGCTGTCAACATCGTCTTGTGAATATTAGAATCATTGTTGACGTTGCTCTTTTATTTTCGCTATTTTTGCCCTGAGCGCCTGCTCCGTCTCCGTCTCGGCGCAGACTGAGACCTCGAATTCAACACCAATATCGGCCACGCCGTTCTTACCAAAGCCTGAACTCGGCCTCTCAGAAAACAGGTCATTCTTTGCTCAAAATCCAACCCACGTGCAAGCTGGACAGCCACGCAATCTGGTCAGCTTCCACCTTGTGAACAGAACAAACGAGCATGGTGTAGTCATCACTCTGACCGTCAACAGCAACATCACTACCCATTCTATCCGCCGAGCAGCAAGGGGAAGACAAACATCATGTGCCAGTACTACGCTCATGCATTCGTCTGCAAGCATCTTACCTTTACATTCGCCCGCTTCTGTCACCCAGCTAGCCTGATTCAAAAGCCATGCGGGCACCGTCAGATATGGCAGACGATCCGACTCGATGAGCCTTGCGACGAATGTCATACCTGGTTCCCCGACAAGTATCCATCGAAGAGATCAAGATGTTGATGAACCAGGATTTGCTGACAGAGCTTGGCGGCGTAGGGTGAAGAGCTACAAATAGAGAGGGAGGGCATATCATGCATGATGAACAGCACGGGAAATAAGCAGGACTTCTTTCAAAACCACTTCGCTGCGTCTGGAAATTATTGCTCGTCTTGGCATGTGTCTCTCTCCAGGTCACCAGCTATTTGTGACGGGAATAGTTTGCCAAAGGCTGGCCATAGGCAAAAACACCTTCGGATCCGTGAAAACCCACCAGGGCAAGAATGGAACCTCCAGGAACAGCCCCCCCCCCCTCTTCACAAGCCGGCCAACTCCGGATCCTCCTCGTGCGTACTTTTCACGTCATCGCATCATCCGGCACCTCCCCAGCCAGAGCCGGGTCGAGCAGCTCCTCGCTATCGGCGACGCTGCTGTTCCAGCTGGCGACCATCTGCTCGAACCTCGCGACGCGCGGCAGCATCTGCTCCTCGTCAGTGACGCCCTGCCCTTCGAGCTTGGTCTTGATGAGGTGCAGCGGCAGCATGCGTCCCGTGACATTGAAGAAGTTGGCCTGCATCTCGAGCCAGCGGTTGCCGAGGCGGCGGTCCTCGAGCGAGGCGAGCAGGCGGCGGTCGCGGCGCGAGAAGCCTCGGTCCGCGAAGCCGGTGGCGCCGGTATATTTGTCTTCGTGGTCTTGGGTGGTGCGGCGACGCGGGTAGAGGGCTGCCCAGAGATGGCGCTGCATGAAGCGGTCCTGGCGGCGGCGCTCGCGCTCATGGGCGAAGGGGTCGGGGCGCGGGTCAGGGGAGTAGGGGTCGAAGTCATCGGCGTCGTAGCCGGCTTCATCACCGTCGGAGGAGGAAGAGGTGGTGGACGAGGGCGGGGAGGCGAGGAGCGCGGCTTCCATGGCAGAGAGGGACATGGAGGTCGTCGAGGGGGGGCTTTTGGACGAGGACTGGGTCCTTCTCTTGGTGTGGACTTTGATGTTGGAGTTTTTCTCGTCACACGTTTTCTCCGCGTTGTCTTTTGACGCATCGTGCTCGGCGTCTTTGGATGGTTTCGCTTTCTGAGACTTTTCTGGCTCGGTGGTGTCCATGCTCGCCTGCTGACTAGTTGGTACCGATGCTGCGTTCGCCGTGACGACCTTTATCTCATGATATCGCTTCTTGACTTCGTTCTTTCCCCGGCTGATGGCGTTGCCAATGACGGCCCAGGTAGCATCGTCCTCTTTCATCCCTATGATCATGGCATCGTCCGACGCAGTCCACTTGTCAGTCGGAGCAGTTGACGGCATTGGCCTGGCGGGATCGTTCTCGGAAGCGGTCGTCGTGGCGTCGATGGAGGACGTTTGAGTCGACTCATCTGTCTGACTTTTGTCCTCGGCGAAACTCACGCTCTTTTCACTCTTTTCCTCCATGACAACCTGAGCAGTCTCTCCAGCGCTGGTCTCAGGGGCGCTGGACGAGTTGTCGGCCTCGACCGATTGGACTTCAGCGGGCGTCTCGGCGTCGGTGCTCGCCTTTGAGGGACTCGACTGATCATCGCTCGATGCCTCTTCGGTAGCGGAAGAGTCTCCAGAGCTTTCGGTGCTGAGGTCTGCTGTTGGCGTGGTTTCCGACGTTGACTTGTCATCGTCTTGAACCGGGGTCTTCGTGGACTTGTTCTTGTGCTTGTGTTTCAGGACGTAGGGATCCAGACCGAGGAGGAGGTTGACTGCTGAGATGTGTACTTCTTCATCAGACGGAACCTGTTCGGAGACTTTGCTTGCGTGCCTTCTGCCTTTGGTCCTGTCCATTCTGATTGTCTGGGATGGAGGCCAGCTGGTGTGCTGTGAGATGGGTTAAGGGTTGTAAGGTCGAAAGATCGGTTCGATTACCATGGACAGAAACATGGACAGAAACCCACGAAAAGAACGCTCGCCCTTGATTTATCTGCGTGGGGGAAACGAGAAACGAGCCTCAGGTCGCAAAGGTGGCATATGAATGCGTACGATGTTGACAATGCGGCTGCCCCTTTGGTGTGCGGCGACTTCACTGTCAGAGGGCTGCCGGCCGGTATTGGATGGTCAGCAGGTCACTGCCTACAATAGCTTGAATGGGAAGAAGATGTTGAAGCCTGTTTTGATGTCCACTTTCCGTGGCCGAGCTCTTGCCGTTGGTGTTGTTCCAGGTCGTTCACAGCACGCCTGTGCTCCATGGCTGGATAGTTTTGTGTCCAACAGCAAACTCTGCTACCCCAGCTCATGATAACACCCTCCAGATGGATTCAACAGGCACACACAGGAATAGATACGCCGTGGACCATGTCACGCCTAGTGTCACGTCAGCCCGTGGAGTGTTTGCCGGCGCTGGCTCCTGTGCTACCTTGTAGCGACAATTGGGTAGCGCTCAACTCCACGTATGATCCGGCTACACTAGCCTCACTTTACATGCCGCGATGAAACCTCAAAATCGGAGCCGCCTCAACGCCGAGGGGCTTACAAACTCTCCCCGCAATGCTGAAGCTTCCCAAGTGACGCATTGCTGTGAAGGGAGGTGGTGAAAGGGGGTCGTCGTCCTCGAGCCAATCGCCCACCCTCTAGACCCGCTGACTCATCCACAACTTGACCTCACGGCAACGGCATGTCTTTTATCTCCCTCTGTTCAGTTCAGCGATACCACTCATCTTGCCCTATCTTGAATACCTACTTGCAGACCACTCACCAGGCTACCGACTTGTCTGTTATCCTCGGCGCCAAAGCGCAGCAAGCTAGACAGACGGCAGAGACGCGCCAAAGCCAAAGAGAGAAAGAGAAAGAGAGAGTGTGTGTGAGAGAGAGAGAGAGACCAGCAAAAATGGCGACGCTCCCTCCCCTCCCCGCGGCCTACCAAAAGGGCCTCGACCTCATCGACGAAGCCCACGCCCGCGACCCCAAAGCCTCGGAGACGACACCGCCGATCCCCTACGAACTGCACTACGCGCGCAAGATGACGCGGTGGCTCGCGGCGCGGCAGCCCGAGGCCGGCCCGGCGCTCCAGCTGGCGTGCCGCGCGCAGCACTTTCGGCGCTGGGAGATCCCGCGGTCGGCGTACCCCATGACGCGGCCGGGCTACCTCACGTGGCGGGCCAAGCTCAAGTCGCAGGCGGCGGCGCAGGTGGCCGCGCTGCTGACGGCCGAGACGGACGTGCCGCCGACCGACGTGGCGCGCGTCGCGGCGCTCATCAGGAAGGAGAACCTCGCGGCCGACGAGGAGACGCAGGTGCTCGAGGACGTGGCCTGTCTCGTGTTCCTCGACGACCAGTTCGACGGCTTTGAGAGCAAGGAGGAGATTGACGAGCCCAAGATTATCGGCATCCTGCAGAAGACGTGGGCCAAGATGAGCGAGCCGGGCCGGGCGCTGGCGTTGAAGATGGATCTCAGCGAGAGGGCTACGGCCTTGATCACCAAGGCCTTGGCTGGGTGAGCGGCACGGCCGGGGTTCCCACACAGAATGGAATTCAAAAGAAAAATTCACATAAAAAATGTTCACAGCATCAATGAACCCCAGGAATGTCAGTTACCGTGTCGCCTGATGATAGGGCATTCACATGTATCGTTCAGAGAACCTACCTAAGGTAGAGAGAGGTACCTTGCCCAGGGAGGCTTCTTGCCCACACTAGCCACATGCAGCAAAGCCGCAACTGCGCCACTCGGCATGAGCTTCACCGAGCGCTGCCGCTTGGCCGCTCTTCCCCCACCGAATCCACCGCCCCCGGATCGCCTCCTCCACGTTGATTCCCCTCCGATCGTGCGAGCATCCACCCGAGGTCGCCTCTTCTTATGTTGAACGTTGCAGACGTCTTCTCATCAATGGACTATCGCTGATTTCTTCTCCTGATCAATGAGTACCTGGCATGCTCACGTCTGCTCTCTACACAGCCCAACTGATCTGAACCCGCTCAGACTCTCATCATTGCGCACGGCACCTAATCTCATTATAACCATCACCCTCCCCTTACAATGTCTCCAGCATCATCACCCTTCGGCTCAACCGAGGCCCGGCAGAGCCCCGAAGCCCCGACAAACGCCGGAACGGTATTCCCTGCGCCGGCCACCTCTCAGACCAAACCACCTCTGGATACCCTCATCAGCGCACATGACTTCGAGGCTGTGGCATCAACCACCTTCCCCCCAAAAGCCTGGGCCTTCGTCTCGTCTGCTGCCACCGACCTTCACACCAAGCGTCGCAACGCCGAGGCCTACGCCTCCATCACACTGCGCCCCCGCGTCCTTCGCCAGGTCGCCACGGTCGACACGAGCACGACCATGCTCTCGCACGCCACCCGCCTGCCCCTCTTCGCGCCGCCGACGGCCATGGCCAAGCTCGTCCATCCCGAGGGGGAGAAGGCCCTCGGCCGCGCACTCAAGGCCTCGGGCATGCCCCAGACCGTTTCCGTCAGCGCCAGCTTTTCCCTCGCTGACATACTCGCCGCCCACGCCGCCCACGACGTCGCCACGCCCTACGATGTGCCCGTCTTCTTCCAGCTCTACGTCGACAAGAACCGCGCCAACTCGGAGCGCCTCCTGCGCGACGCCCAGGCCCGCGGCGTCAAGGCCCTCGTCCTGACCGTCGACGCGCCCCTGCCCGGCAAGCGCGAGGCAGACGAGCGCGTCCGCTCCGATGAGTCGCTGGCCTCACCCATCTCGGGCGCTGCCGCCAAGAATGACGCCCGTGGCGGCGCCCTCGGCCGCATCATGGGCAGCTACATTGACGCCAACGTCTGCTGGGACGACATTGCCTGGCTGCGTCGCACCGTGCCGGGGCTGCCCATTGTGCTCAAGGGCATCCAGACCTGGATGGACGCCGTGCGCGCCGCCGAGCACGGCGTCGAGGCCATCATCGTCTCCAACCACGGCGGCCGCAGCCTCGACACGAGCCCTGCCACCATCCTCGTCCTGCTCGAGCTGCAGAAGAACTGCCCCGACGTCTTTGACAAGATGGAGGTCTACGTCGACGGCGGTGTCACGCGCGGCACCGACATTTTCAAGGCTCTCTGCCTGGGCGCCAGGGGCGTCGGCGTCGGCAGGGGATTGCTCTACGCCCTCAACTATGGCACCGAGGGCGTCGAGCGGTATATCGATAGTGAGTTCAGCCCCTCATTGCCCCCCTTTGCTTCATCAAAGAGGGCGGCGAGAACAGTCTCTGACATGGAACAGTTCTGCGCGATGAGCTCGAGACGACGATGAAGATGTGTGGGGTGACCAGCTTGGACCAGGTCCATCCCGGTTACCTTAATACTGCGGCCGTTGATCACCTCATTCCTGGAAAGGAAGAGCACCCCTATGCGAAATGGAGACCCAGCCAGAAGAGTCGTCTGTAGGACGAATGACCCTGGACAGACAAAGGTACCAAGAGCTCTGGCGTATGACCAGGCCACACACGCGCATCACATCGCCTCTCGGATCTCGAAGGATGACTCCTGCGTGCACCATGGAGTTGCCCTGTTCGCATGGAAGAAGGTCGTCGGAAGACAGGGCTCACACACAACCGCTCCCTCGGAGCATCTATGACGGGCTCACGTCACCGCCCGCCCCCCTCCATGGACACTCAGCTTGGCCACTTCTTGCTCTATAAGCGGACGGCGGCTAAAGGCCCCCCCCATCGGATAAAGACTAGATTTGCCAAATCACTCGCAACAACGGGCGCACAAACACGAGACTCGTCTGGCCGGGCGAGACCTAACTCGTGGGTGGCAATAAGCTGAGTTCTTTTGGAACCTTGATCCTTGCAAGGCTGCAATGCAGTCGGTGCACAGAGACAGATATGGAAGGCGTTGAGCGCGGAGCCTCGGATAGGAACCATACCTACCTACAGTTGCACTTACACATTGGTGCATTCGGCGATCTTACCGACCATGCCATGTCCATGCTATACATCTTCTACAATGTGACATCCTGATGTTGCGTTCCCGCCGCTTATAGATGTCGGGCCAAGGTTTAGCAGGCGGGCTGCTCCACTGTTGGCCTGCGTAGCTTCATCTCAAGGCCATGGCGGTGCCTGTGGTGTAACATGAGACGTGACAATATGGCATGCAGGCTGTGAACGAAGGATGATGGCAGGGTTCCGAGAAGCCGGTCGAAATAAGACCATAGCCTACTATTATAGGCAACCTGAATTATCGATATACCTCTTTCGCCGGTCTGGCCGCATTCGGCCTGCTGTCTGAGTTCGGGGTAGACTCCTGTTAGCAGCGGCAGCCCAACGGCTGCTCAAATTAAATACAACCAAGTCTCGGGACGATCCGATCGATGCACCACTTATTGAGCTCTGACGGCGTGGAGCAACTCACTTCTTTCTACTGGATCGTCTTTTCCCCCGAGTTCGCGTTGCTGTCGAATGCTGTACGAAGTGAGAGCCCTGTACTTCTGTTGTGAGTTGGCGGCGACCCGGTGCTTTACGAGGCAGTGAACCTGGAGTTTTAGAGACGGCGTCATATGGTCGTTTGGTAATATCACCCCCGGTGACGTCGCCGAAACATCGTGAGAGATTTGCTATCCATGGTACATGCGGGATAAATGACCCATGCAACCCCACACGCCGTATCCTATGGCACGTAGAAAGAACGTTTCACCAACTCAGTTGATCCTACATACTCACAGTGAGAACATCTAGACTTTCCCCTCAGGCGGAAGAACCACGGGTCACTAACGATGTCGGTGTGACAGAGCACGACCACTTCCTTCACGCGCGCGTGCTCTCCCTGTGGCGAGTGTTGACAGGGTGATGACAACATGGCCTCACGGCTTTGATGCAGACGACGAATGGCCTCGGACTTGTTCGTCGAGCTGATACCACGTAAGATATGCGAGGCCGGCGCTGAGCGGACTGGTTGGGAAAGACACTCGGGTGTCGCGGTCAAACATATCGGGCTCTGCCGCATATGCTGTTGAGACAGTGATGCAGACATGACCAGATGAATCCAGTAAGCTTGCGAAACTTGACGTAATTCGCGAGTCAATAATCTTCCATCTGTGCAACATGCTGCTTGAGATTTTCGCCGGACTCGTCGGTTCCAGAGATGATGGCCGTGTCAAGTGGAAGACCACTGCCTCCGATAGACCGTTGCATTCAGCTAGACGCCAACATTCTGTGGACAGCGGATATGGAATGCAGATGCCTCGTTACACACAATGCCAAAGTAACGCGGCATGGAAGGTAGGCTGAGGAAACGGAGACCTGTGAAGATCGTACCGCAAAAGTTACGGTTGAAAGACTCCCGACGCCGGCCACGATTTCACCATCTGCGAGCACAGAGCTACAGTGAAGTTACCGATGTCGATGTCGACATGAGCTCGAGAAGAGATGGATCGTAGGGCCCAAAACCACGGAACTGATCGGATCGAATATGCAGTCAGCCGTCAAGCCCACACCAAGCCACCCGCTCAACATCGAAATACTTCCTGCTTTCCAATGACGGCAACAGAGACATAGAGCAGCCTAGGTCCGTTGGAGCAGATGCAACCCCAATTGGAACTTCTGACCCGAGACCACTATGCAGACCTTTCGAGTCATCAAAGTATATCGTCTCTGCCAAGATGATGTCCCGTCCCGTTGGAGGTGGACTGACATCTAGCCGGAAAGCTCAAACCGGCACCCAAGGCAATGAAATGTGCACGCATGGGCTGATTTAGTTGTGGAGCAGGTAGCCAAGGAGCAGTTGCCAGTGGACGAAGAGGGCTGCATATCAGGATGTGTTACACGAGCAGAGAAACGTCGAGTCCAGGCCAGCCAATGCCACGGAGCAGCCGATGCATGGATTGGGGTAGTAATTGCCATCGGCACCCAAGAGAAGGTTGTATCTGTGGCGGGGCTTTGGGAAGAAGAGCCTGTGTCTTGGAGAACAGGCAAAACCCTAAAACCTAAACATCTGGTGGCCGGGTTGACCGGTTCGAGAAACAAGATCTGAGGAGCTGGGCCTGTCCAGGCAGGCCTGTTCTTTGCTCAAGACAAGAAGTGGCGCAAGACGAGTGACATGGAATGTCGGCTCGAATTCGGCAAGCCGCCAACGACTCCTTGGATAGGCCTCTTAGGAAAGGATAGGAACGATCGGACGTTGTGTCGGGATCCCCTTTGGAGTCGAACTTGGCCTCGACCGCGTTGGGCCTTACCGCTTGGCCTGCGAGAAGAAGCACACTCGAAGCCGTTGCTTGTACTTCTTGTGTTTACTACCTACTGTACATGTCTCGCACACGTGCCAAGACTCGGGTTTCGAAATTGCCGGCTGATTGGCCCACGATGCTGTCGATCTCTTGGGTTGCTTAGGTTAAGATTGAGTCCAACGAGATTGCTGTAAGGCTCGATACAGCTCGATATCCTCTGATGTCGTGTCCTGCTCGAAAGGGGCGAGACACATTTCAGACGAGATGGAGGGATTCGTTGTCCCCCTAATTGAATATCCTATGTCGGAGGGCATGGCTGGATGTCAGCAGTCGACAAAATTTCATGTCTCGTGCGCGCAGCTCTCCACGGATCCAATCGGCATGCTTTGTGATTTCGGACATGGCCCGTCGAGCTGTCAGGCTGCGCCCACGGCAAGATTATCTGATGCCTCAGGTGAGATGTGACAGAGATCACGACTCACAAGATGAGCGGAGATGACGTCGGACTGTTTCTCGGAGTTGAGAAGAACAAGATGCCGATCCCTCACATAACTCCCTCGAAAAGCCACTCGACATCGACATGATTTGTGATAGCACAGAGGGCGAGAGGGTTCGCACGAGCACACTTCGTATCGATGGCTTTGCTTTGTGGAGGAGAGGCAACGGCGGTAGGCTGAGGGGCTGGGGAATGGTTAGAGGGGCCCTGGCCAAGGTTGGTGGGGATGGCAGCGACCTACCTATCCTGAGTTAACCACGTTGGGTATGTACGTGCTTCGGGGGCGCTGGGGGGGTGCGCGTTCAACAACCGAATGCTCTGTGCGCCCGACAGACCGACAAAAGAGCTGAGGCCAGACAGGTGTGCCCTGGAAACCCGCCGTGGGCGTGCCGATGGCTCGTGAGCTGCGTTGCAGGTGCGTTACTCGATGGCCTGCGAGGGTGACCCCTGTCAAATCTGGTTGGTTGCTCCCTGGCTTTTGCCTCGAGGAGCCACCTTCTTCACTACCTCAGTGTCACGACCTGAGAGGCGCAGAGCTGCAGAGAGGGATCCAAGTACTTCTAGTACCTGGGTAGGGACTCGTTAGTGGTGCAGCGATGCAGGATCACACCCCTCTTCAGTCTCGCCCCGGCTCGACGACCGCATGGCGACGGGAAGGGGGGGGGGGGGGGGGGGGGTGAGAGGGGCACCTAGGTACGCTGCCGCGCCTGGGTGGAGGTGCGTATCACTGGATGTCGAACCACCGGACAGGCCGTCTCCGGGTTGTGTTCCCCGTCATGCTGAGATCATTGTACCTCTGCTGAGCGGCCAATGGATGGAGGGTCTCAATGAGCGGCATGTCCGTAGAAATAGTACTTGGAAGCAGATGGGGAGGAGGGCCGCCAGAGGTGCCTGTATACACCAACATCAATGAGCAATCAAGGATGCGCGTCTGTTGAGTACTGCCATCCACCGAGTGCAATGTAGGTAGGTAAAATGGACTGTCAATTGGCGCTGGCAGTTGAACTTTTCTTGCCTGTTATTTCGGAGATATTCCAGGGTCCAGCTTCCACTGGTTGCACTTGCTTCAGCCGTTTTGTCGTTGACCTGGGCTTTCGGAAGGGACCGCGGCCTCACAGGGCCAGTAGTGCCTGCCTGCCACAGGCCTCGTTGGCGCCACCATGACCCTTGCTGCCCGCCTCGCGCCGGCCATCTCATACGCCCTGAGCAGGAGCGAGTGGGGAGGAAGGGGAGCTGTAGCCGCAACTCCCAGTCGTAACAGCAGCAACAGCACCTCCATCTTGATTGTTCTTGCCGAGACCCCCTTACCCTGGTGCTGCGTCTGCTCGCCTTGATCGGGCAAGCTGACGAGAACTCGTTGCATCAGTGGACGCTGTCTCTGTCATCCCATTGATCTCACGCCTCCACGCCTCTCCTGAACAAAGCCACGTCTTTCTCTCGTTGCTTTTCCCCTTCCAGCCCATCCGCGCCCTGCACCTTTACCCATCTGTATTGATGCTTGTGACTATTCTTGTGCTTGTGCTTGTACACATACGCCTGGTGACCGGCTCTTCAATCTCCCAACTACCTGGAAACCAATATGAATGACACCCTGTCACAATGCCTGGCTGGTTCCCCTTCCTTTTCGATGCGTCTACCTCATCGTTTCTCGCCAAGCAGACCCCCACTCTCGTGAAGCGCCTCAGCCTGTGGCCCTCCACTCGAATCAACCGCCGACCACCAACTACCACCGTGCGCCATTCCCCAGCTCCAGCTCCAGCTCCAGCTCCCAGCAGCTCCCAGCAGCTCCCAGCAGCCTCCTAGCAGCTCCCATCTCCCAGCGTAAAAGCCACAGTCCCCGAACGGGCAAGACATCAGGATCACCAAGTCACCCCCCGGTTCACACTTTTTGTCCCGTCGCACACCGGCCCCGGCTGAGTATGCAACCGCTAGGCCACCGGACACCGAGCCATCGTGCTCCCAGTATATTCAGCGGCACCATTGAACAAGTGCCCGCAGCTAGTCACTCTTCTGTTGGTCCCTCCTTTCCTCTCCGCCTTCTCCTCCTCCACGCAAAACACCTCACGTCGGCCGAAGAGAGGGGGGTGGCCTTCGGAGGGGTCCTTGACTGCTTGGTCCTCCCCCCCCCCCTTCCCCTTTCCCCCTGTGGGAGTGGACCTCGTGCTGAGCTTCAGCTCGGCCAGGCCAGGCCTCCTCACGCACGAGGCAACGACTCGTCGGGAATCGTCTCCTTTTTCGCTCTCGTTCGTTTTTGTTTCGCGCATCCTGCTCGCCGCCCTCCGCCCTCCGCCGCCACCCCTCCCTTTTCATGTCTTTCACAAATGCTTGATGGTCATACCTTACCCACCCTGGGCGCCGGCCTTCAGGCCCTTCCCTGCTGTGCCTACCTACCTACCTTGCCCTGGTCCTTTTCCGTCGCTAGTCACTCGTCGCTCGTTACTGGTCAACGGCCGACGGCCAAGCCAGCGAGGCAGGCAGGCTGGTGGAGGCATGCAAGTGTCGTCCGCAACGCAAGCCATCTGCGCCTGCTCACTACTCACTCACATTGGACTGACCTGCATGAACACTGACCCCGGTTCTTCGCCGTCCGTGGCTGTCGAGAGTGCAGAGGCAGGCACCAAGCAGATTGGCTTCACCCGTTACTTTTCTCGCGTCTCCCGGTCGTCTCTTCTGTCTCCCTCGACATCCTTGGCTCTGGCTGCCCATGCATTTCCCATCTCGAGTCCTTTCTGGCTTTCACGGTGAGGTAGCCGGCGCCTCAACCGCGGACCTGATCTGCCGCAGTGCCCAGGGCCACACAGCCTGCCCACCTACCGAGCGTAACTAAGGTACCTTAACCTAAGGTGCCTTAACCTAAGGTGCCTTAACCTAAGGTACCGAGTAGGTAAATCTAGCCGTCACTCATCGTTCCCTGCCTACCTCAGGTACTATTGTTCTGCTGTGGAGAAGACTGTACCTCCTCCCTTGGGGGCATCTGACCGTTTCTTATTCAACCTTTCCCCGGACGGCTTCCCATATCTCCGAACGACGCCTGACGCCATTAGGGTCGACCTGGAGGACAGACAGGCAGGCGCTACGGCAAGCACGCCGACGGTGAAGGTGGTACCTGCGTTGCTTGGCCTGGCCTCTTCTTTTGCCTTTTCCTCTCTTGCCTTCCATCTCCAAACTGATATAAACACCACGCCCACCCGCCCGGCTCACTCACTCACTCATACATACATCGGTGGCAACCCATCCGCCAGCCAGTCCCGGTCTCCTGTCCTATCTCCTCACCGCCACTCTGCCTCTGTATCCATACATACACGGTACGGCATCCGTACTCGGTAGCCCCAAAGCCCACTCTCGACGCTGGCCTAATTCCTGCCCGAGTTCCGTCCAATCCCACACCCACACCCCCCTTCTGCAGAACTAGAACAGCCTACCACGCGACCCCCGTCCATGCGCATCTCACACCAGGGCAGTGTCGTATCCATCCCATCCTTGACCCTCCGTCTCCGGCACCCAGATCTGAATTCTTCGCCTTGTCAAGCTCGCCTGCCGGATCCTGTGTTATTAGACACCTCGGAGCCCTGGCTCCAAGCTGGACACGAGTAGCCAGTCATCCGTGACAGCTCGCATCTCGACCGCACACATCCCCTCTCCTTCGACATGGCTTTTGCCAGCGGTGCCTCTGCAGGGCCTTCATTCCATGCCCAAGTAGGACACGGCCTCTCCTCCTTGGTTCTCATGTGCCTAGAGGCAGACTGCTGACAAGGCTCGTAGGACCCCAACTTTGACATTTTCGACTGGTACAACCACTTCCAGTCCTGCGTTCGCTACTTTGTCGACCGTGCCCAGTACGACCCCCCCGTCCAGGCGGTGGCTGCCTTTGTCAATATCCGCCTTCCCTACCAGCAGCACCCGAATCCCGTCTTGTCGTTCAAATCCGCTCCATCTTCACCTGCCGCGGCCGCCGCGGCAGCGCACTACCCCTCGGCTCCCAGCAGCAGCCGCGGAGGCCCCGGCCCCTCGGGCTTCCCCCCCTCCTTCGGCGGATTCCAGGCTCCCGGCTCCGCCCTCCCCAACACGGCAGTATCCCCCATCCCTTACATCCGTCGTCTCGTCGCCACGGGCTTCGACTATCCTGCCATTCTTCATGGTTTCTTTGGCGACGACTGGGTGGCCGGTGTGGGGCGCCTGCACGAAGCTGAACGACGAAACTACCTCTTCGCCGCCAAGAGTCGCCCTTGGCTGAGCGTCAAGGACTCGTACGATATGGCGGATGGCCAGTACACGCCCTTCCTGCGCCCGTTGCAGGAGCCATCTGAGAAGGAGATTAAAGCAGCAGACGCCGGCTGGAGTGAATGGCTATCCGTTGCCGACCGCGAGTGGACCGAGTGGATGGCCATGGAAGACTGGGTCCTCGGCCCACGCGCACCTAGGGGGGCTGGGCCACCAGGCAGAGGTATCAAGATCGAAGATGATGAGTGAGCAGGGGCTTTCTGTTGGCGTAATGTGGGACGAGCTCATGGGGTGGCGGCATCGGAACGAGATCACCTTTGTGCTCGAGATCACCTCTAGGCTCTCGTCGACCAGGACGCGGCGTTTTTTTTTTTGGGTGGACCTAGCAACAACACTGACCTGGAGTCAGATGAACACGCGGGCTCGACTAGTGTACATTGGGCATGGGAAAAAAAGAGAGCCTGGAATCGGGCGGCTGTATCATATATCGATCTTCATTACCTATCTCTTGGTGGATTAGTTCACAATCTTGACACATCGGGTCGTTGGAACGCCCAGGCGGACTGCGTTCAAGTTATGAGACCGTGCAATGCAACCCTCCTGATTGAGCGCACTATGGCTATAGCCTGATTCGATCATGTCTTCTCGCTTCGTGAGACCTGGCTGCGAGTCGATGCGAATTGTTTCTTTTCTGACGCCTACAATGCACTGGACTATGGTATTTCATGAACGACAAGCGCCGCATCCCGTCTACTGTACCGTTGAATAGCACACGCCCCTCGCACGGCTCGCTTGGCGAGCAGTCTACCGCTTCTTCTTCTTCGACAATCTCTTTTGCGCCCTCAGGTCCTTTTTCATCCTCGCGTCGACAATGGTATATCTGCCCTTGACACCCTTGGGTCGTCCCTTGACACCACGGTTGAGGCCTGTGCGTGGTTAGCAGTCGTGTCACGGCAAGCCCCGATGGAAAAGAAGCAAACTCACCCTTGGCGATGACGAGCGTGGGCTGCGGCCGCCTCTTGACCTGTCCCGCCTTGGCAATCATCTTGGCGATGGTGCTCGCCTTCTCCTTCTCCGTGAGGCCCTCCTCGTTGACGAGCGAGTCGGTCTTCTTCTTGAGCTTCTCGTAGCGCTGCGCCGCCTTGAACTTCTTGCGCGCCTTGGCCTCGGCCACCTTTTTGATCGGCCGGGCGTTGTACGCGCGCATCTTCTCCTTGATGGCGTCGGCCGCCGCCTTGGTGATGGGCTTGTGCGGCTTGTCGTGCCTGCCCTCGTCGTCCATGAACCACTCGGGCAGACCGTCGCGGTCGCGGAAGGCGTGGCGGTTGAAGCCGTCGTCGACGAGGTCGTGCGACGTCTTCTGGCCCGTCGCCAGCTGGTGCGCCAGCGTCATGGCCTCGGCCGTGATGATGTCAATGTCGAGCGTGCCGTCCGCCTTCTTCTGGTCGGCGGACCAGTCGGCCTCGTCGTCGCCGGCGGGCGCGGGGCGGCCCTCGGTCTCGCTGTCCGAGTCCGAGTCCGTGTCGGGGGCGTCGACGGCTGCCGGCACTGGCGCCTTGCTGCCCTTCTTTGCCTTTTCCGTCTTGGTCTTGTCGGCCTTGGTCTTGTCGGCCTTTGCCTTTTCGGCCTTGGGCTGCGTCTTGGCGTTGGTCTTTGCCGCGGCGATCATGGCGTCGATGGCGGCGTCGTCGATTTCCTCGTCGCCCGTCGTCTTGCCCGCATCGGCCATCTTGACGTCCTCGTCTTCCATCTCCTCGTCAATGAGACCCTCGAACATGTCCTGGCCGAAGAAGCTCTTGGCCCGCCTCGACAACGCGCCGTCCTCCTCGGGTGTGCTGTCGAGGGTTGTGACGAGGGCCTTGCCGTCGGCAGCCTCGCCGTCCGACTCGTCGCTGTCGCTGTCCATGTCAAACTCGTCGTCCGTGTTGACCGTCTTGTCGTCGCCGGAGAAGCCCTCAAACTCGTCGTTGTGCTCCTCGCGCGCGCGCTTCGCACGGTACTTTGCGTCCGCCTCGGCCTTTTTCTCCTTGTACTGCTGGTACATGCCGTCGAGCTCCTCCTCGAGGCGGTCCTCCTCCTCGTCCGTCTCGTCGTCCGTCTCGCCAGACGAGCCGATGCCGCTGTCCTTCTGCTCGGCCTCGCGCGGGATGGCCATGCGGCCCTGCGCAATCTTGTTGGCGGCGCCGGCCTTGTCGACAATCTTGAGACGGAACATCGAGTCGGCGCCCATGGGGCCGTCCTGCTCCATGCCAATGTCCATGGGGGCCATCATGTTCATCTGCATGCGCACAATCTCCTTCTGCTTCTTCTCGTTCTCCCGGCGGCGCTCGCGCTTCTTCTTGGTGCTCTCCCGGTCGCGCATGGCCTGCAGCTCCTCCTGGATCTTGAGCTCCTCGTCCATGTCCTCGACCTCGGCGACCTCCTCGGGCACGGGCTCGTCGTCCTTCTTCGTAGACAGGCCAAAGATCTCGCGCACCTTGAGACGCCACTTGAGGAGGATCTTGAAGTCGCGCCGGCCGAGGACCTTGAGGTCCTCGCAGCACAGGCGGATCTCGTCGGTCGTCTCGGGCAGCTTGCTCATGGCGGCGAGGGCCACGTCGCCGTTCTTGGGCTGGGCCCACGTCAGCTTGTTGTAGCCGCCGAGGATGGCGAGGGGGTCGTCGGTCTGGATGAACTCGCTGGCGGGCGCCTCCTTGTAGAGGGTGTAGTCGCCCTCCTCGTAGCCGTCACGCTTGCGCTTCTTGATCTCCGGGTTGTAGACCTTGGCCTCGTTGTTGGGGGCCTGGTCCTTGAGCTCGGCGAAGACGGCCTTGGGGTCGAGGAAGCGGGGGTCGATGCGCTTGGGCGCCTTGTAGCCGCGGCAGACGACGAAGATCTCGGCCGAGACGTTGCGCGACGACGGCGGCTTGGTGGCCTCGACCTTGGTGAAGAGCTGGTTGAAGACCCAGAGCAGGGGGTTGTAGTCCTTGGAGCGGAACACCTTGGTGACAAAGGTGCCGCCCTCGACGAGGAACTCGGTGGCCAGCTTCATCGACTGCAGCACGAGCTCGGCCTGGTTGAACGAATCCTGGTTCCAGGCGGTGCCGACGTTGGGGGCGCCGTCGTGGAGCACCGTGTCGGCCTTCCACGTCTTGAGGTGTTGTCGGAGCGTCGCGCGGCACTTGTCGGTCGTAATGTCGCTCTGGAAGGTGATGCACTTGGGGATGGCCTTGATGGGGGCGAGATCGACACCGACAATCAGACTGTTGACCGGCATGGTCTCGGCGGCGACTTGACACCATGACTGCGCGTAGAGGCGTTAGCAAACGTTGTCCGTGGCGTGAGGCCGTCAGCATGCCCGAATCCTTGGTCACCAACTCACTCCTGGCGCGGCGCAGAGATCGATCAAGACCTTGCTCTTTTCCAAAAAGCCATACTTCTTGTTCAGCTGGATCAGCTTGAACGCAGCTCGGGCGCGGTAGCCCTTCTCCTTGGCAAGCTTGTACCACTTGTCGAGACGGCCCTTGCCGTGCTTCTTCTGGATGGCCATGGTGACGGTCGCGAAGCAGCAGCAGCAGCAGCAGCAGCAGCAGCAGCAGGCCTGGTGTCGTGTCGTTCGTTGAAGGAGGCTGCTGTGATAGCGCTGGGGTCCTCGAGTCCTTCCGCCCCACCGCCCGTCTTCTCTTCTCTCGGCTCGATTTTCAGAAATTTTGTTTCTTGGCGTTCTGATAACAAATGGTCACGTGGTGATAGCGACCACCCACTTCCAAAGGGCGAGTCCGCCGGTCTCGCTCAACGCCATGGAAACATGAGCGCGCCGTTACCCCACCGTGGGGTGGAATTTTTCTGGGTCCCGAATGCCAATGACTTGTGTCTGCTGGCTGTGACGTCCATGTCTGATTCTTGCGAGCAACATCATCTCTGCTTCTTTGATCTTCTTTTGATTGAAGACAGTTGACACAATATTTTCTTTCTTCCCACAGAGAGAAAAAAAAGAATACCATCATGTCATCCCAGTACGTCTAGCCTCCATGCTTGATCTTCCATATTCAACATGGCCCCTCCTCCCACCCCTGCCCCTCACCTACCTACCTACCTACCTACCTACCATACCATTACGATAGCTACGATGCGGAGACAAAAACAGCAACCCCGCTAACCTGACCGCCGCACAGGAGCGTGCTCATGCTCGGTGCGGGCTTCGTGACCCGGCCGACCCTCGATATCCTCAGCGAGGCCGGTATCCCCGTCACCGTCGGTAAGACACGCAGCTACCTCTCTTTCTGTTCGAGCTTTGGTCGGAAACTGACGCCAATTGCGTCTTCCAGCCTGCAGGACGCTCGAGTCCGCGAAGAAGCTTTCCCAGGGCGTCGCCCACTCGACCCCCATCTCCCTCGATGTGACCGACGACAAGGCTCTCGATGCTGAGGTCGCCAAGCACGATCTGGTCATCAGCTTGATCCCTTACACCTTCCACGCCACCGTCATCAAGTCGGCCATCCGCCAGAAGAAGCATGTCGTCACCACCAGCTACGTCTCGCCCGCCATGATGGAGCTCGACCAGCAGTGCAAGGACGCCGGCATCACTGTCATGAACGAGATTGGCCTGGTATGTTTTCCTCCGTTGCCTGCCCGGAGAGGGGCTTGAACTGACCTTGTTGCTTCCCAGGACCCCGGTATTGACCACCTCTGTAAGTGTGCCAGCTGCTAGCTACCGGCGCTTGTGCGAAAAGCTGTGCATCCAGACGTACTGACCCTTTTGCAGACGCCGTCAAGACCATTGAGGAGGTGCACCAGGAGGGCGGCAAGATCCTGTCCTTCCTGTCCTACTGCGGCGGTCTCCCCGCGCCTGAGGCCTCGGACAACCCTCTCGGCTACAAGTTCTCGTGGTCGTCGCGTGGCGTGCTGCTGGCGCTCCGCAACGCCGCCAAGTACTACCACGGCGGTTCCGTCGTCGACGTGCAGTCCAAGGACCTCATGGGCACGGCCAAGCCCTACTTCATCTACCCCGGCTACGCCTTTGTCGCGTACCCCAACCGTGACTCGACCCCCTACAAGGAGCGCTACAACATCCCGGAGGCCGAGACCATCATCCGTGGTACCCTCCGCTACCAGGGCTTCCCCCAGTTCATCCGCGTCCTGGTCGAGATCGGCTTCCTCGACGACACGGCCCAGGAGACGCTCGCCCAGAACCAGCCCTGGAAGGAGGCCACCAAGACCATCGTCGGCGCCTCGTCCTCGAGCGCCGCCGACCTCGAGAAGGCCATCCTCGCCAAGGCGACCTTCGACTCGCCCGAGGACCAGCAGCGCATCCTTGGCGGTCTGCGCTGGATCGGCCTCTTTTCGGACGAGCAGACGATTGCGCGTGGCAACCCGCTCGACACGCTCTGCGCGACGCTCGAGAAGAAGATGCAGTTCGAGGAGGGCGAGCGCGACCTCGTCATGCTGCAGCACAAGTTTGTCATTGAGCACAAGAGCGGCGAGCGCGAGACGCGCACGTCGACCCTCGTCGAGTACGGCGACCCTGCCGGCTACTCGGCCATGGCCAAGCTCGTCGGCGTGCCGTGCGCCGTCGCTGTCAAGCAGGTGCTCAACGGCACCCTCGCCGAGAAGGGCGTGCTCGCGCCCATGACCTCCAAGATCAACAACCCGCTCATGAAGGAGCTCAAGGAGAAGTACGGCATCAGCATGGTCGAGAAGACTGTGTCGTAGACCGGCTTGCTTTGAGGAGGCTTGATAGACGGGGCACGGCTCGTTCGGATTGATGGGGCATCCTGCGCAAAAAGCGGACGCCATCATCCGGTGATGGCCTGGTTAGAAAAAAATATCAATAACGAAAGTCATGAGAATGCCCGACAGATGACTGTTGATGTGTATACATGGTGATGCAGGACATGGTGTCCCCATGATGGATGTACACGGTTGATGTTTGGGTAGCAGCAGGATTGACTTTGGGAAGGTTGCTCACTCGGGATGCCAGCAGCTGACAGGACCTAGAGCTAAGGCAGTGAATGGCAGCTCAAGCGCTAACGGTCAATTAAAAACCCCTGTAGCTCAGACGCGCTAGCACGCGTCCAGGTCGTGTTGCGGCGCGTTCCTCGGGCACCCTTCGCCGTCCGTGCGTCTCGTGCACCTTTTCGATCGTGACGACGTCAGTCGTTTCTTCTGCCAATTCTCATGCCATCTCTCCACCCCAGCCTGTTTCTCTGCAACAAATTGCCGGGTCTTTCACGGTAGCTTTCTTGACGCCCACACCTCTTCGTCAATTCATGTTCTGCTCCCAAAGCTTCCGGCACTTCTGACACAACCCACCGGCCCGCCACTAGTTGTCCACAGCAACCTGGTCTCGAGTCCTCACTTCCCTGGGTGTCCGTGGCAACGACTTCCCCATTCCAGCGCCCTGTCACCCCTTCCCTCCACGCAACTCCTAACCCCCCTCCTCCTCCTCTTACCTTACCCTACCTAGCGTTGCCAGGTTGTCGTGAGTTCCTCAATTGAGCACCTGTGCTTCGACAGGCACACCACACTGTCACCATGTCGTCCAGCCGAACATGGGGCCGCGCCATGGCCAGCCCTCCCCCGAGCGATGGCCACATACCCTCGTCACCCTCGACCATGATGCCCCCCTCCTCGCCGATACAGGATGGCTCTTCCCGAAAACGATCCCGAAGAGAACGACGCGAGCCGACCATAACCCCAAGGAAATTCAGGAGGTTCTTCACTCCCCGGAGCGAGAGGCTTGCCATACCCTTCGATGCCAGATCTATCCTCGGCGAGTCGAGCGAGTCGGCCCTCAACGCCGCCCATCTGACATCGCCTGCATCGACCCTCGAAGACAAGCTCGATTCAAGATCCGTTGATTTCAACGTTGACGTTCCGCAAGACGCAAGGAGGAAGACTCTCAACCTCTTCGGAGGATCGATCGACTACAACAATGCATCACGCAGAGACTCAGGGGAGACTCTTCCCGATGCGAGGAAACGAAGGAGGACCGAGGCCTCTGACCTGCTGTCTTCGCCCTCGATTGGGAGTGTGCGCACGTCTAACTTGACCGCTCATAATTTGAGAGCTCTGGGTGCTCAGACTCGTTCCGGCTCCACGCTCGGTTTCGAGAGCAAGCTCGCACAATCATCTCATGCTGGTTCCAGTGATGCGGTACGTCTCTATCCCCAGAGAAGCTTGCAGTGTAGGACTAATCATCGACAGATGATGCTTGACTATAAACCAAAGCCTGTCATGAAGCTCCGCAACCGGGGGTTTGCCGCACAGCTGCTGCTCCGCGAGCAGGGTATCACGCCGAGGCCTGGACTGGAGAGAATCGACTGCCCAGCTCATGGTATGTAAAGCAGCACGCAAGAGGTAATTGGACGTGATCTAACCTTACTCTAGATCAACGCAGCGAAACCACTCGCTTCTTCACTCGTGATACAGATGTCTACACGTGTACTTCAAGCCTCGGCCGAGGGCATACTATTCCCTTCAGTCTCGCCAGTTGTCACAGTACGTTCTCAGGCTTCTGGGTTTCTATCCACCCATCTCTGACTGTTTCTTAGCTACCCCCTTGACTGCCGTCGGCGATGAGGAGGGATTTATTCGTCTCTTTGATACAAAGTCCGTTCCCGCCCATGTATCAGAACCCACCAAGGTCAAAATCGCCGTCCAAGCTCACAATAACGCCATTATGGACCTGGCCTTCTCACACAACGATCTCAGACTGGCAACCGCCTGCGGAGACCACAGCGGCAAGATCATGGATGTCATGTCCCAGTCAATAGCCGTGGAGCTGAACCACGGCCAGTACCAAGCCATGCGCCGCGTCAAGTTTCAACCCGGCCAGGCCAATGGTGACGTGCTTGCGACTTCGGACCGGGACGGCACGATCCAAATCTGGGACATTCGTTGCAGCACCTCTCCCGCCGTATCTTTCACAACGATGGGGCCTCGAGGACCCATTGCTCGCGATCGTGATCTGCCCGCATCAAGGACAAGGCCGTTGAACACCATGCTCGAAGCCCATGTTCGTGTTGTCGAGGGTGAGACCAGAGGAGCCTCGGTCACGGCTCTCGAGTGGTTGCCTGCAGGACGGGAGCATCTCCTCCTCTCCGCTTCGGAAGCCAACTCTTGCATCAAACTCTGGGACACCCGCTACGTCACCTCCAGTAACCGAGCAGCCACCCCCTTGTCCGCCACAGCGACCCCTTCGACCCACGCCTGGCGCCCATACGGCCTGACGTCCATGTGCCTCAGTTCCGATGCCTCCCGTCTCTACGCCGTCTGCAAAGACAGCACCGTATACGCCTACTCGACCGCCCACCTCATGCTCGGACCCGCGCCACAACTCTCCCGCAACCCGCCCCGCCAGAAGCTAGGTTCTGCCTCCCCTGGTCTGGGCCCCCTCTACGGCTTCCGCCACCCCGCTCTCACCGTCGGCTCCTTCTACGTCCGCTCCGCCCTGCGCACCGTCGGCACGGGAAACGGTCCCGAACTTCTCGCCGTCGGCAGCGCCACATCCAGCGCCATCCTCTTCCCGACCGACGAGCGCTTCCTCCGCGAGAAGTGGGATCGCGAAAGCCACGACCCAAACCACGACTGGGACGCCAGTGCGAGGCGTCCCGGCCCCAGCTCCGGTGCCGCCGCCGACACACGCATCCCCATTGTCCACAACGGCACGCAGCTCGCAGACGGGCACCAGCGCGAGGTCACGGGCCTCAGCTGGTCAAACGAGGGCAAGCTCGTCACCGTCTCGGACGACTACACTGTGCGGCACTGGCAGGAGGACGCCTGCGAGGGCGCCGGCGATCGCAACGAGGACGTCCCGAGGGACGCCCGCGACCTGCGCACCTGTGGCGGTTTCGGCCGGAAGCGCTGGATGGCGGGCTGGGCGCGGACCGAGGAGGGTGCGAGCTGGGACGACGATGATGACGACCACTCCGAGTGCTGAGTGTGTTTGTCTTCCTCTTTGTGCAGCCCCCCCTTTGCAAGGCGCATATGTGTGTGCGTGTGTGTGTATTTTGAGTACTGTACAGTTGCCTGGAATACAGCAGCGTCAGGATGGCAGCTTCTTGGGAGTTCTTATTTGAGGCGTCTCAAGGGACCAAGCCCGTTTACGGAAAAGGTTGCAAGGCCAGATTTGAAAGAGCGATAGAGCAGGATACCCAATCGATTGGTTTATGGATAGCATAGCATAGCATATCACAAATTATCCCAACAACAGCAGTTCAGAATCCTGGGGTCATGACTGTTGAAACCTTGGCAAAACAGGCTATTGTATGACCGATCATCAATTCGGATCCAGGCTATGCTCCTTCTCGCCATGGTGTTGATGCTGTCTGGGTCTGTTGTCATAAAACATGAATGCAGTAGATAAGGAAAGCCCAAAAAAATGAGACAAAGGGGGGTATCGTGTATGTCCCTCGCAGCGCCATGATAAGTCCAGGTGTTGAAAAAAAGAAGAAGAAAACAAGGTCAGCCTCAACGCCGTGCAGTCATCATCTGGTATCCCGTCAATCTCCAACATCAACTATGCAACACGACAAGACTCTCATCTTTCATCTCCTACATCACGCTCTCCTCACGTCTCCCCTTAGAGAAGTAAAACGTGGCCATGAGCCCAGCTGCTGCCGCCAGCAGAAGCACATTTGACAGCAGAGAGAGCCTGGCAGACGTACGCGAGGTATCAGTGTCGACAAGACTACCCCTGCGCGAAGATGAACCATCGCCTGAGAACATGGAACGCAACTTGCCGACTCTGCGAACACGATCCGGCGTGGACGGCTTAGGCTCGAAACGGACAGCCTTGCCGAGCATGGGGCAAAACTGGCCGGTGCCCTCCAGGTCCGCCGACTCGTCGGAACCAGCCGCTCTCATTGCTGGACATTGGTGATGAGAGTGGCTTCGTTCTGGCGAGTCATCACTGCTGCTGGCCGCTGCCGCAGCACGGCGTTCTTTGGCGACGGCCACGGAGTTACGCAGTCGCGAGCCAAAGGAAGACGGCTCTGCTTCGAGATCGGTGTTGCAAAAGACATCGAGCTGGCCTACGAGACGGAGCATGTTGTCGAAGATGCAGATGGCCTCCTGGACAATGTCGTGTCGATCGTGTGCAGAGAGGAGAGGCTCGATGGAGGCGAGGCTTGCCTTAAAGTCACGCTTCAGATCTTCTCCATCGACAGAACCATTAAAGCGGAAAAAGGAGAGAGGTAATGGGTCGCCAGGAGCGCCGGGGACGGGGCGACGATTCCAAAAGCCAGGTTCCGGGGCGGACGCGTCGACAGATTCCAGCGTGGCCCGGATGAAGCGTCCGCCGGCGAAAAGCGCCATGAACAGGATGTAAGCATACGCAATCAAGACGTGCGGCCGGTTCTCGAGCGCGCGAGAAATATGGCGCAGAAAACCCGCGAGGCTACCGTGACGGGCGACGGTATCGAGCTTCTGGTTGACAGCGTCGATGGACCAACCAGTGAGTTGGGCAATGTCGGCACGCAGGCGGTCAGCGCGCATGAGATCTGGAAAATAGATGCTGGATAGGATGTCGTGGATGCGGCCGGCAGCAGCATCGGCGCCGGGAGCCGGCGTTGCGCTTACGAGACTATACCACCAAGACTCGAAAGTGATGTAGATGGGCGCAATGTGCACAAGACCAGATGCGTAGGTGGAAGGATCTTGTGCATGAGGAGGCAAGCTCAGAGGTAGACGAGCGATGATGAGCTTGTTAAGCTTTGCGTGGATAGTCCTAGTGGCGGCGTTGATCGAATCTGATAGCGGCCGTTGAGGGCTTCCGCTGCTCGCGGAGGCTTCTGTCGAGGACAGCATAACGTCGTAGGGGCCTCCTTGCGGCGAGGCAAGCCTGGTGGATGATGCTTATGAGAAGGAGAGGCTCTAGGTGGGGAGGTCGGGCGCGGCTTGAGAAGGTTTGCAAGATGGTGAAAAAGGCTGTCTGGATGTCCTCTGCCCATGAAGGCCGCGGGCGAGACGTTGAAGAGGTCGAGCGGGCGAGGAGCGAAATTTCATGATGCCAGGAGCGACAGAACCACGCAGCAAGAGATGGGCTCACTGATGCCTCGCCGGTGCCCTATCGATGCCTACCCTTTATGCTAGCTATGGTATCGTGGCAGGGCCGTTGCTGAATGAACACAAAGCTGACTCGTGGAACAAGCAGTTGCGATGCGCGCTTGTAAATGCACCTGAACAGATCAAGATCAGATCAGGAACGGCCAGTCACAGCTGACAAGTGACGAGATGTGGCCGAGTGCTGTACGGTGATTAGCGAGCCAGGCAGAGCTGGGCAGCGTCCTTAACCAGGTAGCTGGGAGGATCTGGGTCGTTCTGTGGCTCGATACACGCAGACGCCCGAGCACCGAAGGGGCGTTCCTAAGAAGGAAAGGAGGAAGAGGCACGATCGGTTCTAGGCCTGGAAGGGTTCGGCCAAGGTCCTCGACCAGTACGCTACTGGGCTTACAGGGCAACCTTGAGCGGAGATGAGGTTGATGGGATGAAGAAAATGATCGGGCAAAGATGGGTTGGCCACCGCGAGAGAAGAGGGAGAGGGGCACATGAGGGATCAATCCGAAAGTCCTATGACCAAGAAATGGATGCGAAGATCATGCCTTGGCGCTCGTGAATCCCTTCAACGCTATTTCTCATTCTCCTTGGCTTCCACGCTTTGGGTGTGCATTGCGTAACGGGTGGGATTCACATGCTCGCATTCCATCCCTTCCTTCTCAGGGTTGTGTTGCAGGCCCTAAAATACATAGGCAAGGCAGGGTTTCCCCAAGGCAGGATCGCGAATGCCATGTCTCTCCAATGAATGCCCATGGCCATCCTCTTGTTCGCCAGAGGCAGGTGCCCCGCGCACCTCGGTCGTGGGCTCAGGTGGGGGGGGGGGCACATGGGTCATCGAGATCGGTATCTCTGCTGTGTATCGACATTTCATGACGTTGCCCACTACATGCCCCTACAAGTACAGGCTGTGGGTGGAGGAAGTAGCGCCCCGGAGCCGTCTCCACAGCGCTCTAATCACCAACGTGACGGCAATCACGGCCCTGTCGATCCCGCCTACCCCAACCCTGCCTGCTCTGAAAGTCTGTTCCTGTTCCAACAACTCGGTCGTCGATGATCCATCTCGAGTCCGAGTCATGGACATCTCCAACTCCTGACTTGCATCATTTTCACTGCCGTCTCAGCCTCTTGTCTTTGCTTTTATTTCGGACAGACTTCCGCACAAGTCATGTCGTCACCAGCGAGGCTACGGCCGAGTGAATCAGTTCTCAGAAACCATATTCTCACTCAGATGCCCCACACGAGCAAGAAACCAACTACGAGCCGGTACACCGCGTGGACCTCATCCTAATCTTGTAGCAGCCACATGAGCTTGAGCCCGATGCTTGCAATAGACTTGGGTAATGCCTCGAATCACTGGGTCGAGCCTGCTGCTCGTCATGCTTGCTTTTCGATCCAAGATAAGAAAAGCATTTCGGTATGCTGCCGAAAGATGCCCCGGGCTCATGAATCAACCATTCCTACAACTCGGTCGTCATCCCAGCCATTGGGGTTCCAGCATAGTAGCACCCGTTGGGTTGAGCTCTGAGGTAGGGACGGCTCCAGTGCAACACCAACAACATTATCCTGTTCCCGTATCGGGTGACATGGCTCGGCTTTCTCGTAAGTTGATTCGCAATGAATGAATGAATGGTTATTCGGTGAAGCGATATGGCAAGAGACCACATAAGCACGGCTCCCGCAAAACAGATCAAGATGCGCTTCTATATGCACGCTCCAGGTGTATGCCGAGGTATCACGATCGCAACCAACGGCAAACCTATGCCCTTCCCAAACGCCTAAAATCATGACCCAACGCCTTCCCAATCGCGCCACCCTCTAGATAGCCGTAGTTTGGTCTTCTTCCGTCGCAGAATCTTCCTCCTTGCTCTCGTGATTGACAAACACGAAAGAAATGAAGACAATCGCCGCTCCGACCCAGTACACCCAGCCAGAGTGCTGCGAATACTGAATCATTTCTCCGACCAATGACAGCGGAATCGTCAGCGATAAGCCGACTGTGACCAGCACCGGCGTTGTCAGGAGCATTGCGTACGCCCATGATATGTCGCTGACGAAGGAAGAGAAGGCATTCACCAGGATGATGACCCAGACTTCAGCTGTCGGCGGCATCTCGAACTGGCGCATAGGTTTAGTACACAGTAACATGCTAGGGACCACAGGGGGGGAAACTCACTGTCTCAATGCCTGTCCAGTGCAGGATGAAGAAGACCGGCCACAGCATGACGAGGTTGAAGAGACCCACGAGCCCAAAGAATAGCTGCATGTCCACCCTCTCCTCGTTGCCGACCCTCCACTTCATAATGGTGACGTAGACTCCGTAGATGATGGCGCTCAGAAACGCCATGCCGTCTCCCAGCGCAATCTGGCCCGTTGTCTTGTGCGGGAACGACCCCCTGCTCTCATCGCTCGACCCGGACAGGTCAATGGTGGAGATGAGCACGACGCCCGCGAGCGACGCCAGAACGCCGAAGAGCTTGCGCATGGAAAAGGTCTCGAGGCGCAGCGTGGCGCAGAAGAGCAGCGTCCAGACGCTGCTCGTTGACGTCAGGATCGTGACGCTTGCTACGCTCGTGTACTGCAGACAAGCCGAGGCGAAATAGTTTGCTAAGAACCAGAGCATGCAGAACTCGAGACTGAGAAAGGCGGTCTCGCGCGGATTGAGGCGCTCGGTCGAGGGCGGTTGCTTCGGTATGCTTCCGCTGGTGTAGCCCCCGGCGCTGGCCTCATCGTCGACGAGGAGACGCTCGGCGTCTTCGGCAATCGGAGACAGGAGGGCTGTCCTGCCGTATTCTTGTTCATGCCAGGCCTTGGACACTTCGTGACGGAGACCGGACAGCCCGTGTCGACGTAGGAAGCGGACCAGCATCGGAACCAGGTTGACGGCAAAGACCGATGTGTTGAGGTATACGACGAAGAAGGGCTTGTCGTACGTCGAGTCGGAGAAGATGTACTGCGCACTTGTCAGCCATTGCAGTGAGCCATGCCACTGGGGAGGGCCCAGAGCTTACAGATGCGAGAAAGTTGGACATGGTCCACAAGGCGACCGTCAGGAGAAGACAGGCAATTCCCAACGTGCGCCTCCCGACACCGTCGAGTCCAAGTCTTGTTCGCCAGCTCATAGGCCCTGCATCGGCGGTTGTCCTGTCGGTCGGCAACTCTCTGTGCGAATGCCTGTCGCTAGCCCCCATCATTGCTTCGTCTCGAGTCATTGTCGCAAAGGCTTATCGTGATTGATGTTTTCTCGATCTAGCGTCAACGTTGGGGCCAAGGAAAAAGGCCTTCGTGAAAAAGAAGAAGAAAAAAACAATGACCAAACTCTGAAGCCTTTACTGGACGTCAAAGGGCTGTCGCGGCCAAGTTGGTGAGATCGAGCGTATTTCCCGGCGAAACAGCAACAGAGGTGCCGTCTCGTCGACCGCCCGCACGTTGGAGTAAGAATGAGAACTCGCAAATGCGGCAGGTGCTGAACACGAGGCGCGCGTGGGTTCAGCTGCTGTCGAACTGTCGGTCAACTGGGGAATCCAAGCCGCCTCGTGGGCACTGGGGTCGGGAGGGTCGTTCGCGAGGAATGGAGGAAGGGCATCGAGGCTCGGGTACCCCTCCGATCACGCACACGTTTGTCTGGGTTCGTCGGGAAGAGATATGGCGTCTTCGCCAAATGTTCCAGGGCTCGGCCAATGGTGGGGAGCCCTCGTGAGCCCCTCCTCGTCCTCCCGTCCTCTCAGGGTCGCAGCCTTGTGTCACCCGGCGAGGGTCAGGCCAGTGGGGGGCTCAGGATTAGGGCGGCAGGCGAGTGGGCCAGGGCATCCAAACAGCCACTGAAACAGCGGCTTCCGGCGCGCTCCTTGGGGGCACGTCGGTCGGTCCTGTCACTGCAATCGTGCACGGCGGGACACCGTGCCCTTCCATGGGTGCATGACGTGACGACGCGGGCGGGCGTGTGGGCCCCAGACTGTCACTGACGAGGTCTCTTGTTCACGTGCACCTCATCTCCCTGACCGTGAAATCTATAATGAGCGACAGAATGCGGACGCCTGCAAGGTTTTCGCTACGTCTTTGGCGGGAGCAACGCCCCCGCCTGGAACACATGAGAGGTCAGAAGCTGCAATCGGCTCACTTCCACCGTCTGACGCTCAATTTCCAAAGAGGTTGCCAACTGCAGAGACCATCAGACGCAAAGAATCAGTGTGATATTCGAAAACCCCGCAAAACACCCAGAAAACCCAGTGCCAGAATATGCTACATCAAGCCTAAGGTATAGTAATAATATGCCGGCAACCCGAGACTGTCTGTGCTAGAATGTGTACTCCTCGAGCCATGTGAAGTTGACTATCGTGGGCATGCCGTACCCTGCCTCTCTGTCGTGTGCCGTGCCGTGCCGCGCCTTGTCGTGCGAGCCATGTCGCTATGCAGACACGCTCTCTCCCTCCGACTTGACCCCATTAACAGGCACAGCCATCGCGATCGTCCCCAATGTGGATGTTGATGGGGTCCTGGAAGTCGCCGCTGAACTCCTCCGACTCCTCCTGAGCCAGCGCATTGCGTGCGATCACTAGAGGGATGTCTCGTCAGTACACACAAGAAGCAAGTAACTGCCAGGCGTGGACTTACCCTCGAAAGCCTGCTCGACGTTGACGGCCTCCTTCGCACTGGTCTCGAAGTAAGGGATTCCACCCTTGGACTGGCAGAACGTCATGGCACGCTTGGTCGAGATCTGCCACTCAAAGTCAGCTTGCGTCCAGAGCTTCCAGAAAAGCATCTCAAACTCACCACACGCTTGCTCTCCTCGACATCAATCTTGTTGCCAAGAACGACCTAGGAACATGGTCAATAGGGCGGTGACAACTCTGGGCCGGAAAGCCTACTCACAAAGGGGAAGTTGTCGGGATCCCGCGGCGAGGCCTGGATCAGGAACTCGTCCCTCCAGCTGTCAAGGGCGTCGAAGCTCTTGGAGTTGTTGACGTCGTACACGAGCACGCAGCAGTCGGCACCACGGTAGAAAGCCACGCCCAGGGACTGGAAGCGCTCCTGGCCGGCAGTGTCCCAAAGCTGCACGGTCACGTTAGTGCTCGATCGCAGCCCACGGCGTTTCGGCGGCTCGTTGTCTCCTCGTACCTGCATTGTTACCTGTCGGTCATCGACGAGGACCTCCCTCGTCAGGAAGTCGGCGCCGATGGTCGCCTTGTAGCTCGCGCTGAACTTCTTGTTGACCTGTCGCCAGAATCCTGGGTCAGCAGGCTACTCCACTCGCACAGTGGTGGTCGAGATCGAATAGGACGCACATATTGGTTCATCAGACTCGTCTTGCCGACACCGCTGTCGCCAAGGATGATGACCTGGTGAAAGAAAGTCAGTCGAGGAAACAGGCATGGAGTTGGTTGTACATGATTCTAACCTTGAGGAGGACCTTCTTCCTCGTCGACATGTTGGGCTGTTGATCTCTCGAGCTGGTCGAAGAGGGGAATCGGCGAAGAGGCAATGTCTTGTGCTGCCTGTGGGATCGGTCTGGGGAATCGTTGCAAGTACGTAATCTTCGTACTCGTGTCGATTCGGTCGGGCAAGGCACCTGTCGTTTCGGTGCAGGCAGCAGAAACGGGTTATCGTCGTCTCGTCTGTTGTTGGAGCGGTCGAGATGGAGGAGGTCGGTCGGTCGGTCGCCAGGCCCGGCCATACAGTACCTGTTGCACAACTGATAGCGGCTAGCTCCCCCAAGGTACCTGAGTACCTCCACCTTTGTCTACTTGGCGGTTCCACTGACGAGCATGAAACAAGCCAATCAATGCGTTGCGCTCTTGGATGCAAGCGGCCGAGAGGGGACTAGCGGCTCTTGCGTGAGGTCACTTGGATGCCATGACGACTGCGCCACATGCACCGCACTGCTGGGGCATGTCTTGGGCGCCTGTAGTGGGGCGCTAGGAGACGAGACGATGGGAGAGAGAGAGGCTGGTGAGCTTCAGTCGCATGCTTCTAGCTTGCATCCACTCAACGACTTGATGATCGGCAAAGATATCCTCAGCCATTTGTCGCGGTCATCAGTGGCCCGGATGATGTCCACTGAGCCTAGATATGGCAGATGATATCCTGCTCAGCAAGGTCCATGGCCTCAGCGACCTCGAACTCGCCGGGCTCCTGTGCCTCGTGAGCAGGGAGCATTGTCTCATCAGTACTCCTCCAGAAGCACTCGATGAGTTGACAGAAGAGCTTCAACTTGTATGCGGAAGAACTTTCGTTTCTCTTTTTCAAGACCTCATCTAATTACGACCAGATATTCACCAAGACCTTTGGCCTCAAATGCGTCGTTGTCGACTGCCACGCCCACACCACCCTCGATGACTTCGCCGCCGCCATTCTCACCTCGAAACCCCAGTCACGCACCCCCTCGCCCTTTCAAACCCGCAACTCGGCGGAGCCCTCGTACTTTGGCGCCCGCCCCGGCGCCCTCACCCCTCTGACCTCTCTCTCGGCGACGAGCCCCGGCCACCCTCCCCCGGCCATGGCCAACGTCATCCTCGCCCGCAACCTCGACCAAGCGCCCAAGGCCGTCCAGATCCAGGCCCTCGAGCTCCTGCGGACCCGCCGCATCTTCACCCGCACCGCCGTCCAGGCGGCGCCCAAGCAGTTCCTCTTCGTCGCGGCGCTCGGCGCGCAGAGCGGCGGGCGCGCGCACGTCACGCCGCACCTCAACGACTTTCTGTACCTCGCGCACTGGCACGACCCGGACCTCGGTTTCGCCAACCTCGACGAAGGATTCGAGGCCACCGTGGGGGACGGCGGCTCGGAGACGGGCAGCATGGAGAGCGTCGTGAAGAAGAGCGTCAACGGGGACCTCCGTGTCGAGGACGACCCGTTGCTGAGCGATGTGGTACGTGGTGATGAATCCCTCGGGCGTGGCGGACGGACGGAATCATGCTGACGACCAGTTGTAGGATATCGCTGCCCTGGCAAGGCTCAGTCAAGGTGTGCAGATTGACGTGGATGTCCTCCGCTACCAGATGAATCTGATATCCTTCTTGCGAATGCACCGAGCCGTCGGGGGTGGTGTCAGTCCAACGGCGACGAAGCACTTTGAGCAGCTGATCAAGGCGCTGGCGCCGCTACACCAGCTGGATTACGCGACGCCAGGCCTCGTCGCACTGGCGTTGCGGAAGGTCTATCTGCACAGGATCCAGATCGTGGAGCCGGGACAGGAGAGGAGCATGCAGTGGGGTAGCGAGCTCGAGGCCGTAGAGGCCTTGCTCGAGGACATCGGGCCGGAAGAGGTCATGGAAGAGGTTCTGGACATGGTTGCGACGCCACTTTGATTCACAAACGCCGGTTTGATGAATTCGTTACGTGTGATGGTAACACTGCTATAAAAGGCATCGATACGGTGTTCTCCCGAATGCGGGCCATGCCCGCCATAGTAAGGGGACGCCACTGGTACCGTGAGATTTGCCAATCTCCAGGCCCAAAAAAAAAACCACGTTGTGCCGAGTCCCCATCTGTTCTGTGGCGGTCATCTCACTCTTCTTTTTGTCATCAGGTCCTTGTGTTGTTTGGGTCATGAATTACAACGTCTATACTTTACAAAAAGCCAGAGCACGCATAGCTAGAGGGGCGGATCCCGTCTACTGCACCTGCTTGACCTTGCACTCCCAGCCGGAACCGGGGGCGAGAAGAGGGAGACTAGCCAAGGGTTAGCAATCATGTCATTTCGTGGGAGTGGTACAGGTTAGGTCTTACCTGGCTCCCAGGCACCAGCCGAGTTCGTTGCCCTTGATCTTCTTCGCAATCTTGACCTCGCGCTCGATGGGCATCTCGTAGCCGGTGTGGAGAAGAGCCATCATGAAGTTGAGATCGAGACAGTGATCGGGGCGGTCGCGAAGCTCATCCAGAGCTCCAGGGATCGTGGAGAAGAGGTCCCAGGACTCCTCACCGCCACAGACGGTGTTGGTCAGGTCATGCATTTCGCGAAGGGTGAAGGAGTCGGGCATGCCGAGTGGCTTGGTGCGGTCGTAGAAGAAGGAGAAGATGTAGACATCCTCGCGGCCGAAGGTCTTGGCCAGAGAGGGCTGATGAATGCCGTTAAAAGAGCAGGGAGCAAGCTTGCAGTCGGCCTCCTTCTTCAAGATGCGTTCGGCCAGGGCGCGACATTGCGCAGGGGCGGCGTTGGTAGGTCCGGTGAAGTTAAGGCTGATGCTCTGGCCGAGCTGATGGTTCTCTGGCAGCTTGACCTCGGTCTCCTTGGCGAATCCAGGAGCGATGCAAGGGTGGACGACAGGTCCCTCGAGAACAGATTTGTCGTTTTTCTTGGACGCCAGCAGCTCATCAAGGAAGACGGTGTGGAGAGCGTCACGAGCCGCCATGAGACCATAGCCGAGGTGAGAGTGCTGGTACAGCTCAAACTTCTGACCACCAAAGTCGAGGTTGTACTTGTGGTCACCTTCCGACAGCTTCTCGGGCATGCCTCCAGCCGGTCCCTTAAACGTCGGTTCGAAGACAATCTGAGTAGAGCCACCGCCAAGGTCGAAGACGGCGGCAGTGGGGTTCTTGTCAGGGCCGCCAATCTTGCCGAGGAGGTAGTTGGTCGTGATCCAGGCGTAAACGCCCTCATCGGAGCCATCCATGATGGCAACGCCGTTCTGCTCTTCCGAGACGACAGGGAAGGGGTACTTGGTCTCGAGGTGAGACCGCACAGTCTTGAGGATCTTGTCAGCTGCCTCAGCACCAACCATGCGCAGACCAGCCGTGGCCTTGACGGCGACCGGGCTGCAGCCCTTGAGCTTGTCAGGGACTTCCTTCATGGCAACGTCCATGAGGGCATCGAGGGTCTTGGCCGCTGCCTCGGGGTCGTCCTTATACTTGCTGAGACCACCAACCGACTTCTCAGTCATCTTGAATTCCTCCTTCTCGAGCTCGGGGGCGGCGCCGCAGTTGTTGAACTTGTACACGTGGATACGCGAGCCAGTGCTTCCAGCGTCGATCATGAGAACGTATTGCACGATGGGCTTCGACTTGGAGCTGGACTTGGTGCATCGATCGGTGCCATAGGAGTTGTCTGAAGGGACCTGGCCATCATTGGACTTGGTGGGGGAGACTGTGCAAGACTGTTAGGTTTGTCGTGCCATCTCGGCCGCTTCATCTTCTCACCTCCATTGTTGTACATGTCAACGCCCTTGGGGGACAGCCAGATGAAGCCCAAAACGATAAAGAAGACTACGGCGGCCGTCTTGATCCATCTCGCCTTTTGCGTCTGCGACATGATGACGGCTTTCAGTGCACCCAGAAGACCAGGCTTTCGGGCAGGGGCAAAGCGACCGGGCTTTTCGAATGGATCTCGCGCGTTCTTGGTGTGCGGGAGCGAGACGGATGATCTTCGCATTGGTCGCGGCTGAAGGGACGAAGGTTGTGCGGGCGAGTCTACGTAGACACGGCCCGGCGCATTCGTGATTCGAGGTGAAGTAAAAGGAGGGACTAGGTCGGAAAGGGCGGCGGGAGAAGGGAGCGATGTCGAAAGAGCGTCAGGTCGTACGGGTCGGCCAAGGGACAAGATGCAAGATGAATCGAGTCCAGTCGAATGGGTTCAAATGCAAGGAGGCGAATGGGGTTCGGCGAGGGGAACGACTTTACTGTACAGTAGAATGGGGTTGGCTCGAACCAGGAGGTGGCACTCAAAAATTCATTGACTTAGGGGAGCTGATTGCTCGAGCCAGCCTGCCGCGGCCAACGAGTCTAACCCCAATGCAGCCTGGATAAGCGGGGCATGCCGGCGCCGAACCCCGTCTACCAAAAGGGGGCCCCTTTCCTCCGCGCGACAGGAACGGACGGGCGAGGAGGTGCACTGCCACATGTCTAGGTGCTGAGAAGCAATTGGTGTGGCGCTCTCTTGTGGTACATGTACCAAGCAGTGGGAGGTCACAGGCCACAGGTCATTCGTCACCGAAGCTTCTCGACGATAGCCGTCGTCGTCGTCGCAGTTGCCTCCATGTCAGCAGCGGCGACAGTCGAGTTTTGGATTTCCTCGTCAAAAATGCTCACAAGCACCCAAACCCGCCTCCCTGAGTCTTCTCAACAGTAGCACTCACCGGCCTTCTCCGTCCAAGAACAGTTTGATTTCTTTTCATTTTACCCACGTAGAATTACCACACGCGCACTTGTAGCGCAACGACTCACCGACGCACTCCGTCCGCCTTATTGCCTGCCATACAATCCTCGTTGCACTTGAACAGGCCCGTCATGGAGGTTGCCCTCTTCACGTACGATCTTTCACAGGGTCTCGCGCGGCAAATGTCCCAAGGGTTCCTTGGGTTTCAACTTGACGCGATTTATCACACCTCTATTCACTTGAACGGGCTCGAATACGTTTACGATGGCGGTATAGTCGCAATTAGGCCAGGGTCTTCCCATCTCGGCAGGCCGATGCAGAGGATACCGCTCGGAACGACAGAGCTTCCGATGGATGTGGTAGAAGAGTTCTTGGACTCGCTGAGACCCATTTTTACTCTCGAGGTGAGTGAGGCTACTTCGACGTTCACCCACCCCCGTGCAATGGATGCTCGACGTCGGTTCGGCATACATCCTTCGAGGCTTGCTGACAGGTGTTGGGGTTAACAGGCTTACGATCTGTGGAAGCACAACTGCAACAACTTTTCAGATTCCTTCGCCAAGTTTTTGGTCGGCAAAGGAATCCCAGATCACATCATCAACATGCCCCAAGCTGTCATGGATTCCCCCATGGGAAGGATGCTCCTCCCTCAGCTGAACCAGACAGTTAATTCCATGCGGCAGAACGGAGGTATACTTGGTATTCAGAACAACGCCGCAGCCCAGCCCCAGTCTACTCAGCCACAACCACCGAGAAGCAAGGTCGTGACGGCTGGCACTATGCAGGAGCTGAGTGCCGCCCTGGAGACTGCAAAGACGTCCTGTGCAGTCGTCTTCTTCACCATGAGCACATGTGGACCCTGCAAGATGCTCTACCCCGAGTATGAGCAACTGGCCGTCGACATGGCCGACACGGCTGTGCTCATCAAAATCGACATCAACCGTGCAACAGACGTTGCCAACACCTTCAACGTGCGTGCGGCGCCCACATTTGCAACCTTTGTACACGGCGAGAAACAAGACCAATGGACTGGAGCGACACCCCACGCCCTACGGCAAAAGGTCCAGCTTTTGGTGCAGATGGCTTGGCCCCGACATCCCCACGAGTCGTTGAATCTTCCCAGTTTTGCGAGTCCTGGCGCCAAACCAGTACTTTACACCAAAGTACCACCACTACAGAAGCTGCTGGCCAAAATGGGAGACGCGGCCAGTGAACCGGCTGTGCAGGCCATCAGGCGTTTCATCGAGAGTCGTGACCAGAACGGCCCTACGCAGGCGGTCCTGCCTGATATGCGTCAATTCGCCGACTTTCTCCGACGCTCGACTCAAACACTATCCAAAGAGACCTTTTTCGCCGTGACAGACCTCCTGAGGTGCGCTCTGATCGACCCTCGAGTAAGCGGCCATTTCGAAGAAGAGCACGACCATCAGACGCTCAACAGCATCATCGGGCTGGTCAATGCTAGTACAGACGCCCCTTATGCCCTCCGACTTGTGACTTTACAAGCAGCCTGCAACCTTTATTCTACACAGCTTTATGCGGACCAGATTCTTCACAACGAGCTCATCAGAGAGCCTGTCGTGCAACTCATCTCATCCAGCTTCCTCGACGATAACCATAACAACGTGAGAGTCGCCGCATCTTCTCTCATGTATAATGTCGCCCTGGCGAGCAGCAACGCGAGAAAGACGAAAGCAGGCGACGGCTTGCCGGAGGCTGAACAAGTTGAGCTTGCCGCTTCTGTCCTCGAAGCCATCGGACAGGAAGAAGCTTCACCAGAGGCTCTCCAAGGCATGTTGCTCGCGCTTGGTCACTTGGTCTATGGCACGGCGATTGACGGAGAGCTGGCCGACTTGCTGCGCGTCATGGATGCAGAAGCCACGGTGCTTGGAAAGAAGAAGCTATTTCCCAAGGAGAAGCTCGTGGTCGAGGTTGGATCGGAGTTGTTGGGCAAGGGATTAAAGCGGAAGTAGAGGGAGAACGAAGTCGTTTCGTTTGCATGTCTAGATTTCATCGTTTCGGGATTGCATGGGCGACCTTATGATAGACATGTAGGATAGGTACAGGGAGGGAATTCAACAGCAGGACGGATCGAGGGTTTGCACTGCCAAGGTCGTGCTGTGACACCGGCTCCTAGGTCCTCCACACTCGTGGCTCTCTAGTGCGCGGGAACGTACTTTGGCGCTGGTACTACAGCGGGCAGTGACGGCATCAAAACAAACAGAAAGGCACCACGCACAGAAAACAATCTCGTACCATGACACTGAGCACAACCGCTCTTTGCACCTACCAGGAGAACTCTCTGATCCTCTCTTCCGAATACTGAGAATTTCAAAGGTCAACGTGGATCACTGTCTGTTCACTGGTGCCACTGCCACGCCGCACTTGGCCACGCCACACTGGCCATCCCTGCCCATCGACACCTCGCGGTCGATCCGGCAACCGCTACCCCACTGCAGCTGCCTCGATTGGGCAACCAAGTAAACATCGACCGGGGGGGAGAGCTTTCATGGAATGTGATGTGGGCTGTTCAACGTCAACGCTTCCGCAAACTCGTCGAGCAACTCAATGAGACACTGCTTGGAATGGCTTTGGACAACCGCCTGATGCCCGCCGCCGCCGCCGCTACTCCCGAACTGCGGACCATCCGCTCATCTGCCTCGACCCCGTCGCTGCGCTCTCGCGATGGAACTATCCCGCTACACGCCAGAATGGACGGAGGAGGCAACGTACGGGTGGTCGTCCGCGTGCGGGCGTTCCTGCCCCGAGGTGAGTTTGTTTTCTCGCTGCTTCGAGGTCAAGATGGATGACTGACGGCAGAATGTCACGCTCCGCAGAAATCAACCGCGGCGCCGAATGCCTTATCGAGATGAACCCAATGACCCAGGAGACGACGCTGCTCGTGCCCAACGACAACGACCCGGCCAACTCGCGAACCAAGTCGCGCAAGGTGATCGAGGAGAAGAGTTTCACATTTGACAATTCGTTCTGGAGCCACGACACAACGGACAAGCACTATGCGCCACAGGAGGAAATTTACAACACCCTCGGCGAGGAGTTCCTCGACCACAACTTCGAGGGCTACCACACATGCATCTTCGCCTACGGCCAGACGGGGTCCGGCAAGAGTTACACCATGATGGGCACGCCGGACCACCCGGGCTTGATCCCACGGACGTGCGAGGATCTCTTTGAACGCATCGAGGCGGCGCAGAACGAGACGCCCAACATTTCCTACAACGTCAGGGTGTCGTACTTTGAGGTCTACAACGAGCACGTGCGCGACCTGCTGGTGCCCGTCGTGCCCAACAAGCCGCCCTACTACCTCAAGATCCGCGAGTCGCCGACCGAAGGCCCCTACGTCAAGGATCTCACCGAGGTGCCGGTGCGCAGCATCAACGAGATTCTGCGGTACATGAAGAACGGAGACGATTCGAGAACGACGGCCAGCACCAAGATGAACGACACGAGCAGTCGAAGCCACGCAGTCTTCACCATTATGCTGAAGCAGATTCATCACGACATGGAGACGGACGAGACGACAGAGCGAAGCTCGCGCATCCGACTGGTGGATCTCGCGGGCAGTGAGCGCGCCAAGGCAACGGAAGCCACGGGCGCACGGCTCCGGGAGGGCAGCAACATCAACAAGTCGCTGACGACGCTCGGGCGCGTCATAGGAGCGCTGGCCGACTCGAAGCAAAAGGGTCGCAAACGAAAAGACGTGGTGCCGTACCGGGACTCGATCCTCACGTGGCTGCTCAAGGACTCCCTCGGCGGCAACAGCAAGACGGCCATGATTGCGTGCATTGCGCCGTCGGACTACGAGGAAACGCTCTCGACGCTGCGCTACGCGGACCAGGCCAAACGGATCCGCACACGGGCCGTCGTCAACCAGGACCACGTGTCGGCAGCGGAACGAGACGCACAGATTGCGGACATGGCGGAGGAGATCAGGGTGTTGCAGCTCTCCGTGTCGGAGTCGCGACGGCGCGAGAAGGACACGACACAGGACCAGGAGGCGCGCCTCGAGGATTACCAGAAGAGCGTCGTGGCGATGCAGCGCATGATGGAGGAGAAGAGCCTCGTGGCGGAGGGCAAGATCCGCAGCCTGCAGACGGAGAACGAAGCGCTCCGGCTGCACCTCAAGCTGGCGCTGGAGAGCCTCAAGAACCCGATCCCGGCGGTGCCCCTGAAGTCGGTGGAGGGTCGGAAGAGCATCGGGGAAGAGGCGGACGACGACGACAACGACGACAAGGAAAACGAGGACAGCTTTGTGTCGTACGACGGCGATTCGGACAGCACGGCGTATGACTCGGAGGCGGGCGGTGAGGAAGACGAGACGCAGGATTACATGAAGAGCCTCCTCCAGGACCTGGGCATGTTCCGAAGGAAGATCGGAGACGACATGGGCCGGTGGATGGAGCAGGGGGGCGCGAGGACGCCGCTGGGGGCCAGGCTCAATGTGTGAGGCGGCGGGCCAGGGACGGCGGTAGCAGTCTGGGGGATGGGATCGGTCTGGAGGGTTTTCATTTGTGACGACAAACGACAGCGGCGAAGCGTGGTGTTTCTCGGCGTTGGGTATTTCATGACGGCGGTCTCGTTACGTCTGCCTCTCTCTCTCTCTCTCTCTCTCTCTCTCTCTCTCTGTCTCTGTCTCTTTTCTCTCTATTTCTGTCTCTGGGTAAGGTGAGGTGAGAAGGATGGGCAGCTCTCGGGTGCTGCGTCATCCAGGGCGTTTCAAGAATGTCGACGGGGCGCCAGGCCAAGGTAGAAGAAACCAATGATTCCCCTTTACGAGATTTTTGCGAGTCGTGTGCGTTGCAGTCTGCGTGATGGACCTGCAACGCTTGAGGAGGTGAGGCGAGACTGACACTCGGGACGCGGCACGCGAGGAAAGAGAAGAAATCCAAGAACGGCAGGGTAGGTGTAGGAGGATGCGATGCAGCCGAGCGGCCCCTGATCCGAACAGCGAGAAGCCACAGGGCGATCTGGTCGTCGAGGACATGAGATGAAAGG